ACTGGATGGCCCATGAGGTCTCTTCCAACTCTTTGATTCTATAATAATAACAATAATAAAGTAAAATGATAAATGTAATAAGAGTAACATGATAAGTGTAATAATAATAGAGTAAAATAATGAATATAAAATAATAATAATAACAATAACAGAGTAAAATAATAAATAACCTTGAGTATAAGCCGAGGCGGACTTTTTCAGCCTACAAAAAGGGATGAAAAACTAGGCTTATACTTGAGTATATACAGTATGTTATAGTCAGTCCCTGTTACTTACAGTGATTTACCATTTGGGGAAATGTATTATTTTTGCATGGAGGAGTCATTGGAAGGAAAGAGGGACCCAGATGCACCTTGGAACCTTTAGTTCTTTATTGCAATATGAGAATTTCAGACGGCACAGCTTCAGAAGACTGCTCAGAAGGTTTTTGCGAGGGATCGATACCATCTTTCATCCCCTCCAATAAACCGACGGCTTATCTCCGCTCCCATTTCTACTCAGAGATTTAAAGCCTTGTGTGACACGGAGGCAAAGCCGAATTTCTCCCCAAAGGAGGGGAAAAGACATGAGTGGATTTGACTTTACCGAACTCGTGATCTTCCAGATTGCTCGGGGGTTATTATGTAAGAAGGAGGGCATTTTGTGGAACAGAAAGCGGGTCACGGGAAGAGAATGACGAAGCCGACAGTGACGTCTCTGCTGAGAATTGAATTAGGCAGAACCAGGCCTTGGCTGGAAACTCCCTTTCTCGTTCGTGGTCTCTGTGAAATCCCATCTAGGGTTGCTTTATTTCAGAAATTAAAAGGAAACAATTGAGATTTTATTTCTGTTCATGACGTGCTTGCACTTTATGTATTCTCAGGCGGCACGACTCAGGATCAAAAGGAGAGTCTTGTTTGAAACCTAAACACCGGCTTTGTGAAAGGGTAAACAGCACACAAAAAGAATATTTCTGCTCTCGCCATGCTGTTTCCTTTGCAAGAAGTCCCAGACTGTGAAAATGATTATTAGCTCGCGTTTTGCATGATGAGTTTCCCAACACTTGAGCAAAAAAAAAATAAAATAAAATCCCAACTATTTATTTTGGAAAGCTGTTTCCATCTCTTTCAACATTCTCATGCATCATATACATACTGCTTTGTTTTCACAAAGTACTTCATCACACTAGAGAGAAAAATCCACTTAAAATCCGGTTTCTGCCTCCTGCAGAATTCTGGAGTTTGTAGTTTAGTGAGGCTGTGAAAGGTTCCTCCCTAAACTACAAACCCCAGAATTCTGCAGGAAGCGGAAATCAGATTTTTTTCTCTAGTGTGATGAGGCCCACGATCATAATTTACTTATTTTATTTATTTACTTACAGCATTTATATTCCACCCTTCTCACCCCGCAGTGTGGATCACAAGGCTGTTAGGAATTGTGGGAGTTGAAGTCCAAAACACCTGGAGGGAAGGCCGAAATTGGCCCAGGCCTGATGCATTTGCACTCTTAGGCCCTTGCTACACTGCCGTATAATCCAGATCTGCTTTGAACTGGATTATAACCGGATTATATGAGTCTACATTGCCATATAATCCAGTTCAAACTCCCTCTGAGCCATTCCCACTGTTGCTCATGCAAAATGAAAGGAACTGTCGAGTCCACGAAGACAAGGATTATGTATTACGTGCAAGCAAAACCTACAACTTGCAAAGTCCAATTTCATATTACAGCAAGTGTAACGGGAATGTTAAACAGGAAGATCAACTAAAATGGCATAATGTCCAAAAATCAAAATAAAGGAGCCAATCCGCCCCCATTCCTCCCAAGCTTCCCATTAAAGACATGACAACATTACAGCAGGGAAAGGGGCCGAAACACACACCAAGTTGTCGTCATCGGCACCGTTTCGATTCAGAGAGTTTGATCATTTAGCCGGAGTATGGACAGCAGCAACCACCCACACCGCAGGCATTATGAGCCCAGTCCAGGTCTTTGGGCATCGGCCTCCTGGGCTTCTCCTTCGCTCAGCTGCTGCTGAAACTCCATCCGCGCCTGGCGGTTCGATTCCAGCAGCTCTTTGAGCCGGGCGTGCAGGTGGTCGTTCTTCTCCTCCAAGTGGTCCAGGCAGGAGTTGATCTGGTCCAGCATGGCATTGATGGCCGCATATTCTGCTTGAGAAGAAGGGAAAGAGAGGACTTTTAAGAAGACGAGGAATGCAATACGGCAACCATTGACATTTGGTCCTGGCTTATACAATTTTAATTCCCAGGATTTCCATAGCATTACGCCATGGCAGTCAAACTGGTGTCAAACTGCATTAATTCTGCAGTGTAGATGCACTCTATTTTTCAGCACCAACAGAAAATACTGGAGAGGTTTGAGACGTCTGGGAGTTGTAGTATGAGGTTTGAATGAAAAGTAATGCCTCCACCTTCGTACCTCCTCAACAGATGGCAGTACTGGTATGCGGCAGGTACTGGCTTGTTCAGTAGACTCTCCTATACAGTTCCATTTTGGTGGGAAGCCTTAGCATTGAATGGTTGTGTTGTTAAAGTGCAAAGTATGGAATGCTGCACAGACGGTCGGTCTTGTCTGCTTGAGGCACCGGGATTGTGGCGCAGCTGGCTAAGTGTCAGCTGCATTAAGATTATGCAGTCATTTCAGATTTTGCTACAGGGACATTTCCAGAAGCTTCTACAGTCACATATGCACACATACACCAGCACAGAATAGTGTTGTCTGATATATATCCTTTGATTTTATTGCTGTATTATGTTGTCTGGGCTTGGCCCCATGTAAGCCGCACCAAGTCCCCATTGGGGAGATGGTGGCGGGGTAGAAATAAAGATGATGATGATGAAGATCACTCTGACCAAAAGGTCATGAGTTCGAAGCCAGCCCGGGTTGGAGTGGGTTTCCAACCAATTGTGTAACCTGTTGTCGACCTTTGCAACCCGAAAGACAGTTGCATCTGTCAAGTAGGAAAATTAGGTACCACCTTAAAAAGTGTGGGGAGGCTAAATTAACTGATTTATGAGGCCATTAAAAAGACTCCAGCAGCAAGCATGCGGGGAATGCGGAAGTGCTTCATCAGTGTCGCAGATGGACAATGAAAGCAACAGCTCCCCTGGCGGCCAGAAAAAGTTAAATAGCCTCTGTGTATGTCTGTATATGTTGTATGTGAAAATTAGCATTGAATGTTTGCCATATTTGTGTACACTGTAATCCGCCCTGAGTCCCCTGCGGGGTGAGAAGGGTGGAATATAAAAGCTGCAAATAAATAAATAAATAAATAAATAAATGTTGCCACTGGCCAGTTTGGTTAGCATTTAATGGCCTTGCAGCTTCAAAGCATGTCTGCTTCCTGCCTGGAGGCATCCTTTGTTGGGATGTTTGTTGTCTTCCGAAATCAGGACAGTAAATAAAGAACACTAACCTGGCTGCTACCTGCCCGGAGGAATCCTTTGTTGGTATGTGTTAGCTGGCCCTGATTGTTTCCTGACTAGAATTTCCCTGTTTTCTGGGTGCTGCACTTTATTTACTGTCCTGATTTTGGAGTTTTTTAAATACTGGTAACAATATAATAATAATAATAATAATAATAATAATAATAATATTTTTTTGTCGTGTCAGGAGCGACTCCTGTTGTGAGAGAATTGGCCGTCTGCAAGGACATTGCCCAGGGGACACCTGGATGATTTGATGTTTTTATCATCCTTGTGGGAGGCTTCTCTCATGTCCCCGCATGAGGAGCTGGAGCTGATAGAGGGAGCTCATCCGCCTCTCCCCGGATTCGAACCTGCGACCTGTCGGTCTTCAGTCCTGCCGGCACAGGAGTTTAACCCACTGCGCCACCGGGGGCTCCAATAATAATAATAATAATAATAATAATAATAATAATAATAATAATATAGATACATAGCTGCTTTGGGTCTCCTTCGGGAGAGATAAGGCGGGTTATAAATGAATATTATTATTATTATTATTATTATTATTATTATTATCTGGGCAGAGTGAAGAGACAGGGGGCCAGGGACAGTTCCACCTTGTCTCCTGTGCTATTCTAATAATTAATATAATATAATATATACAATATAATATATTGTATATATTGTATATACACATAATATTTATAATATTATAATGTACTGCAATATGATAATAATATGATATTATAATTATATATTTACATTACTTGTAATATTACTAATAATATTACGATATAGTGGTATGGTGCAATATAGCAATGTTTAATGCTGATATTGTACTATGCTAATAATATAATATATTGTATGTAATATATACCTTGTAAGCCGCTCTGAGTCCCCGTCGGGATGAGAAGAGCGGCATATAAATGTCGTAAATAAATTATTATTATTAATAATAATAATAATAATAATAATAATAATGATAATAATTAGTCTCTTTCGGGAGAAATAAAGCAGGTTGTTATGAATAATAATATGAATAAAATGAACAATAAATCCAGAGCATTCTAAAGATCTCTGTCAATGAAAGGCAAATAAATATATAATAAGGGGTGACCAGGGGAGCATTTGCACAGCTTAGGCTGGTGCGCCAGCTGCGCCCGTACCTTGGGAAGTCTGACTTGGCCACGGTGGTACACGCTCTGGTCACATCCCGCCTTGACTACTGCAACGCTCTCTACGTGGGGCTGCCCTTGAAGACGGCCCGGAAGCTTCAGCTAGTCCAGCGCGCGGCAGCCATGTTACTAACGGGAGCGGGACGCAGGGAGCACACAACGCCCTTGTTGTCCCAGCTCCACTGGCTGCCGATCTGCTACCGGGCCCAATTTAAGGTGCTGGTGTTATCCTACAAAGCCCTAAACGGTTCCGGCCCAAAATACCTTTCGGACCGCATCTCGGCCTATGAGCCCACGAGGGCCTTGAGATCATCTGGGGAGGCCCTTCTCTCGATCCCGCCTGCCTCACAGGCACGTCTGGCGGGGACGAGAGAGAGGGCCTTCTCAGTGGTGGCCCCCCGGCTGTGGAACGCCCTCCCTGTTAACATCAGACAGGCGCCCTCCCTGATGGCTTTTCGTAAGAGCTTAAAGACCTGGCTATTCGAGAAGGCATTTAACTGAGTGCTATACTAATTGGTAACGACAACCGGAACGAAATGGATTACGAGATTGGTTACGATTCGATGATGGAACGGAGCGGATTATTTAGTGTAATTTAGATTATTGTGTATTTTGATATGTTGATTCTCTGTTTGTGTTCTATTGTAAATGGTTTTTATATGTTGTACACCGCCGCGAGTCGCCCCAGGGCTGAGAGCGGCGGTCAACAAATGCACCAAATAAATAAATAAATAAATAAATAATAACAATAATAATAATAATAATAATAATAGAAAAATAATAATCCAAAGCACTCTGAGATCTGTATCCAATGAATGGGGAAAATAAAATAATAAAATAAGTAAATGATCTCACAAGAAGCCTGAGAGCTTTCTCAGTGAATTATTCATCCTCCATTAATTAATTAATTAATTAATTAGGAAATTAAATATTAATAATACTAATAAATCTAGTCCTTCCTTCCAGGCTTTACCTGCCTCCCCTTCGTCCTCCTCTTCCTCCTCTGCTGGGCCCAGGCTCAGGTGTGGCTCCCCATTGGGCCCCGACATCTCACCTGGAGCCAAAGACACTCTGGATCACCTGGACACAGGCTAAGCCACGCCCCCTCCGCCTCCCCGGATGGAACGCAGGGAAGGACAAGCCACGCCCCCTTCCGCCGGCAAGAAGGTTCGTCTGCCTCTGCGCATGCGCGGTGCCAATGCCTGGCAAATCAATCTTAATATTCTATATTATCCGAAATACTTGTGACTGGAGGGGTTTGGGAGTATATGTGTTTGTGTGTGTATGTGTAAATAAATACATACATACATTCATATGTGTATAAAATTTGATATTATTTGATATTTGATATATATATATATATATATAATATCACACACATATATAAATATCAATTATATATGTGTATATATATATAATATATATACACATATTAAATATATTAATGTGTATATATAATTAAATATATAGAATTTGATATTATTTAATATTGAAAATAATATAATATCTATATTTAACACATATATAGATATCAAACATATATAATACATATAAATATCAGTTATATATGTGTGCATATATAATATACACATAAACATACACACATTAAATATATTAATGTGTGTATATACACAATTAAACATATATAATCTGATATTATTTGGTATTTGATATATATAATATAATATCTACATAATATATATATATATAAAATATCAAATATGTGTGCATATATATATCACACACATATATATTAGGCTTGGGCAATCCATGGTTCTAAATGGTTCTAAAGTACTTACAAAACTAAAGTTCTGGTGGTGAAAATTTCAGAACTCTAACAAAACTTTCAAAATTTAATTATTATTTCATTATTGGTGATTTTATGACAGAACCAATTAGGAACTGCCATTTATAATGAAATTTTGAGAGTTTTGTTAGAGTTCTGAAATTTTCACCACCAGAACTTTAGTTTTGTAAGTACTTTAGAACCATTTAGAACCATGGACTACCCAGGACAAATAAATATATTAACAACCTCAAATATGCAGATGACACCACTCTGATGGCCGAAAGCGAGGAGGAGCTGAGGAGCCTTCTATCAAGGTGAAAGAAGAAAGCGCAAAAGCCGGGTTGCAGCTAAACGTCAAAAAAACCAAGATTATGGCAACAAGAATGATTGACAACTGGAAAATAGAGGGAGAAAATGTGGAGGCCGTGACAGACTTTGTATTTCTAGGTGCAAAGATTACTGCAGATGCACACTGTGGCCAGGAAATCAGAAGACGCTTACTTCTTGGGAGGAGAGCAATGTCCAGTCTCGATAAAATAGTAAAGAGTAGAGACATCAGACTGGCAACAAAGATCCGCCTAGTCAAAGCCATGGTATTCCCTGTAGTCACCTACGGATGTGAGAGCTGGACCTTAGGGAAGGCTGAGCGAAGGCAGATCGATGCTTTTGAGCTGTGGTGTTGGAGGAAAGTGCTGAGAGTGCCTTGGACTGCGAGAAGATCCAACCAGTCCATCCTCCAGGAAATAAAGCCCGACTGCTCACTGGAGGGAAAGATACTAGAGACAAAGTTGAAGTACTTTGGCCACATCATGAGGAGACAGGAAAGCCTAGAGAAGACAATTATGCTGGGGAAAGTGGAAGGCAAAAGGAAGAGGGGCCGACAAGGGCAAGATGGATGGATGGCATCCTTGAAGTGACTGGACTGACCTTGAGGGAGCTGGGGGTGGTAACGGCCGACAGGGAGCTCTGGCGTGGGCTGGTCCATGAGGTCACGAAGAGTCGGAGACGACTGAATGAATGAACAACAAGAATAAATATCAATTATGCATGTGTGTGCATATATAAGTAATATATATACATACACACATTAAATATATTAATGTGTATATATAATTAAATATATATAATTTGATATTATTTAATATTTTATATATATCTATATATAATATAGATATATATGATATCAAATGTATATATAATACATATATATAAATATCAATTATATATGTGTGTATATAAGTAATATATATACACATATACATACACACATTAAATTATTAATGTATATATATAATTAGATATTATTTGATATATATAATCTCTATATATAATAGATTTATATATCAAATGTATAATATATATATATCAATTATATATGTGTATATATAAGTAATATATATACACACATATACATACACACCTTAAACATATTAATGTGTAGATATATAATTAAATATATAAAATTTTGTATTATTTGATATTTGATATATATAATATCTATACATTATATATAATATCAAATTATATATATATATAATATCAAATGTGTGTGTGCATATATAAATATAAATATATAAAAATGAGTGTATATTTATATATAAATATATGTGTGTGTGCATATATATATATATTTATAAATGTGTGTGCATATATATGTGATATATATATATATATATATACACACACATTTTTATATATTTATATTTATATATATATGCACACACACATTTGATATTATATATATATATATATATATATATATATATATATATATAATTGATCGATCAATATATAATTGATTGAAAGGTCACAGGTTCGATTCCGGGGAGTGGCGTGAGCTTCCCCTGTCAGCCCTAGCTTCTGCTAACCTAGCAGTTCAAAAACATGCAAATGTGAGTAGATCAATAGGTACCGCTTCGGCGGGAAGGTAACAACGCTCCATGCAGTCATGCCGGCCACATGACCTTGGAGGTGTCTACGGACAACGCTGGCTCTTCGGCTTAGAAATGGAGATGAGCACCACACCCCAGAGTCAGACATGACTGGACTTAATGTCAGGGGATACACTATCAAAGATATATATATATATATATATATATATATATATATAAAAATGTGTGTGCATATATATATATGTGTGATATATATATATATAACACACACACACATATATATATATCAATACATGTATGTGGTGGAGGCTCCTTCTTTGGAAGCTTGTAAACAGAGGCTGGATGGCCATCTGTCAGGGGTGATTTGAATGCAATATTCCTGCTTCTTGGCAGGGGGTTGGACTGGATGGCCCATGAGGTCTCTTCCAACTCTTTGATTCTATCATTCTATGTGTGTGTCTCTGTATGTGTATCTCTCTCTCTCACCTTTCTGGAAAGGTCAGAGTCTGGGACTGGAAGAAGCCACGCCCCCTGCGCTGCTTAAATTATGTGGTTGTGGAATGACTGTCTGTGTGGAACCAATGCGGAAGGGCAAGTTATTCCTTTCCCCTGCAACAATTGGGAATCCTGTTCCTCCTCCTCCTCCCTGAACAATTTATCTTTTGGTTTTCAGGACCTGTTGTATTGTACCGGGGCTCCTTTACATCTGTTCAGGCGATAATTACAACTAATAATAATGAAAATATAGTGTTAAGTAGTGAATATATTGAAAATTGAATCCAGACAAGACAGAGGTACTCCTGGTTAGTCGCAAGGCCGAACAGGGCATAGGGTTACAGCCTGTGTTGGATGGGGTCGCACTCCCCCTGAAGATGCAGGTTCGCAGCTTGGGTGTGACCCTGGACTCATCACTGAGCCTGGAACCCCAGGTTTCGGCGGTGACCAGGGGAGCATTTGCACAGCTAAAGCTTGTGCGCCAGCTGCGCCCGTACCTTGGGAAGTCTGACTTGGCCACGGTAGTCCATGCTCTGGTTACATCCCGTTTAGACTACTGCAACGCTCTCTACGTGGGGTTGCCTTTGAAGATGGCTCGGAAGCTCCAACTAGTCCAACGCTCGGCAGCCATGATACTAACAGGAGCGAAGCGCAGGGAGCATACAACTCCTCTGCTGCACCAGCTCCACTGGCTGCCGATTTGCTACCGGGCTCAATTCAAAGTGCTGGCGTTGGCCTATAAAGCCCTAAACGGTTCTGGCCCAAATTACCTATCCGAACGTATCTCTGCCTATGAACCCACCAGGACTCTAAGATCTTTTGGGGAGGCCCTGCTCTCGATCCCACCTGCATCACAAGCACGGCTGGGGGACGAGGGACAGGGCCTTCTCAGTGGTGGCCCCTCGGCTGTGGAACGCCCTTCCCATGGACATTAGATCAGCCCCCGCGTTAATGGTGTTTCGAAGACAACTAAAAACCTGGCTGTTTGAACAGGCGTTTGGATAAACAGTGCAATGTACACGATGAATATAGGAAACGGAATTATGGATGACGAATTGGATCACGATTCTAGTTACGAGACGTTAATGTGTTGTTATTGATGTGTCATTATCCTGTATATTATGTTGTTAATGGTTTTTAAATTCTGTATGTTGTTGGATTGACTTTTTGCTCTTGTTGTGAACCGCGTTGAGTCGCCTACGGGCTGAGAAACTGCGGTATACAAGCAAAGTAAATAAATAAATATATCCACTTTCCCAGAGGAGGAAGAAGGCGGCGCGGGCGGGCCCCGGAAACAGAGAGATAGTGTCTCTCTGTGTTTCACGGGCCCGCCCGCGCTTGCTTTCCCCTGGTGAAAAATGGCGGCGGGAGGAGGAGGCTGGCGGCTGTTTCTGCGGCTGCGTGGCCCTTTGGCCCTCCGGGAGGCCCCGGCCCACTCCAGGGGTCTGAGGGGCTTCTCGTCCGGGGCCCCAAGGCCGGGCTGGGCCCGGAGGGGAGCCACAGTGGCCGCCTTGGCCTTGGGGGCCTCCTTGGGCTGCTCCCAGGCCCTGCGGTGGAGCCTCCTCAGCCAGGAGGCCAGAGCCCAACAGCAGCAGCAGCAGGCGGTAAGGCATCCTAACAAACCGATTGCACAGTTCACATCCCATATCAACTAGGTTGCTGTGAGTTTTCCGGGCTGTCTGGCCATGTTCCAGAAGCATTCTCTCCTGACGTTTCGCCCACATCTATGGTAGACATCCTCACAGGTTGTGAGCTCTGTTGGAAACTAGGCAAGCATAGTTCCAGGACAGTAAATAAAGAGCAACACTCAGAAAACAGGGGAATTCCAGACAGGAAACAATCAGGGACAGCTAACCCTCTCAACAAAGGATTCCCCAGGCAGGAAGCAGCCAGGCTTCGAAGCTGCAAGGCTTTTCAGTGCCAATCAAGGGTGGCCAACTGCAACATTCACATTTGCCTCCAACAGACAAGAGTTCTTTCTCCCACCCTGGACATTATTCCATAGGGATATAAGCCCTGCTTCCTGTTCCTGGGTTAGCAATGCCATTTCCTAATTGGTCCTGTCATAAAGACATGGGGAAAGTTACTTCGGGACATCATGCAGCACATTTGTGCTATAGTTTGTAGGAGGCGGTAAGGCCTCTGCATCCTCTACAAACCATCACAGTCACACTAGGGCTGACAGCCGGGAGCTCACCCGACTCGCAGCTTCGAACTGCTAACTTCTGTAAGTAAATAAGTAAAATGTATTGTCGAAGGCTTTCATGGCTGGAATCACTGGGTTGTTATAGGTTTTTAATTTATTTATTTATTTATTATTTACTTTGCTTATATACCGCTGTATCTCAAGCCCGAAGGCGACTCACAGCGGTTCACAAACAGTAGAAACAGCAGTGGTTCCATACAACATATAACAATTGACTTAACACATTATCCATAAATTACCAATAAGCAATTACAATGCACAATTATTACAAAAAACAACCGTACCCAATCTTCTCATCATCCAAGCGTAGTCCAGATTCGTCGTCCATTGTTCCATTCCTATGTTCCATTACCAGATTGCACTAAATTACTCAAACGCCTGCACAAACATCCAGGTCTTCACCTTTTTGCGGAATACCATTAGAGATGGTGCTAGTCTAATGTCCGTAGGAAGGGCGTTCCACAGCCGAGGAGCCACCACCGAGAAGGCCCTATCTCTCGTCCCCGCCAGCCGAGCTTGAGAAGCAGGCGGGATCGAGAGCAGGGTCTCCCCGGAAGATCTCAAAGTCCTGGTGGGTTCATAGGCAGAGATGCGGTCGGATAGGTAGCTTGGGCCGGAACCATTTAGGGCTTTAAAGGCCAACGCCAGCACTTTGAATTCAGCCCGGTAGCAAATCGGTAGCCAGTGGAGTTGGCGCAACAGGGGGTTGTATGCTCCCTGCGCTCCGCTCCTGTTAAAATCATGGCTGCCAACGTTGGACTAGTTGGAGCTTCCGAGCCGTCTTCAAAGGCAACCCCACGTAGAGAGCGTTGCAGTAGTCTAAACGGGATGTAACCAGAGCGTGGACTACCGTGGCCAAGTCAGACTTCCCAAGGTACGGGCGCAGCTGGCGCACAAGCTTTAGCTGTGCAAATGCTCCCCTGGTCACCGCCGAAACCTGGGGTTCCAGGCTCAGCGATGAGTCCAGGGTCACACCCAAGCTGCGAACCTGCGTCTTCAGGGGGAGTGCGGCCCCATCCAACACAGGCTGTAACCCTATGCCCTGTTCGGCCTTGCGACTGACCAGGAGTACCTCTGTCTTGTCTGGATTCAATTTCAATTTGTTCGCCCTCATCCAGACCGTCACAGCGGCCAAGCACCGGTTCAGGACCTCGACAGCCTCCTTAGTAGCAGGTGGAAAGGAGTGACAGAGTTGGACATCATCCGCGTACAGATGACACCGTACACCGAAACTCCGGATGATCTCCCCCAGCGGCTTCATGTAGATGTTAAACAACATGGGAGACAATATTGAGCCCTGAGGAACCCCACAAGACAATGGTTGTGGGGTTGAACAGGTGTCCCCCAACAACACCTTCTGAGATCGACCCTCCAGGAATGACCGGAGCCACTGCAAAACAGTACCTCCAAGACCCATCCCTGCGAGGCGTCTCAGAAGGATACCGTGGTCGACGGTATCGAAGGCCGCTGAGAGGTCCAGCAGCACCAACAGGGACACACTCCCCCTGTCGAGCTCCCGGCGCAGATCATCCACTAAGGCGACCAAGGCTGTCTCGGTACCATGTCCCGGCCTAAAGCCAGACTGTGCCAGGTCTAGATAATCCGTGTCTACCAAGAATACCTGGAGTTGTGAGGCCACCACACGTTCCAAGACTTTGCCCAAGAAGGGGAGATTGGAAACTGGCCGATAGTTGTCGAATTTAGTGGGGTCCAGTGATGGTTTCTTCAACGGCGGTTTTATTATAGCTTGTTTTAAGCTCGCTGGAATCTTGCCTTCCCAAAGGGAAGCATTAACCACCACCTTAACCCACTCAGCCAATCCCCCTCTGGCCTCCTTTAGAAGCCAGGATGGGCAGGGGTCCAGGATGCATGTGGTTGGCCTCATTCCTCCAAGTATCTTGTCCACATCCTCGGGTTTCACCAATTGAAATGAATCCATCAAAACTGGACAAACAGGTGCTCGTGTTACATCCTCAGAGACTGCCATTAACATGGTATCCAGACCAGAACGGATCAAAGCGACTTTGTCTGTAAAGAACTGAGCAAAAGCTTCACAGCGAGAAGTCGAATCGTCAGGGTTCCCACCTTGAGTGGTGGGATTTAAAAGGCCTCTGACAATTCGGAACAGCTCAGCCGGACGGTTCTTTGCAGACGCAATAGTGGCCGCAAAGAAGGCCTTCTTTGCGGCTTTTATTGCCGCGGCATATGCCCTTAAAAAGGACACAAACCGTGTTCGATTTGGCTCACTCGGATCTGAACGCCACACACTCTCTAGTTCCCTCTTCCTTCGCTTCATCGCTGCCGGGCTATATGGCCATGTTCTAGAGGCATTTTCTCCTGACGTTTCGCCTGCATCTATGGCAAGCATCCTCAGAGGTAGTGAGACACCTAGTATAAACACTAGCATATGGACACCTAGTATAAACACTAGCATATAGGGCAGGTAATAATAATGGAGGGTATATCCACTAGCATATAGGTAATAATAATAATGGAGGGTATAAACACTGGCATATAGGTAATAATTTTGGAGAGTATATATGCTAGCATATGGGTAATAATGGACAGTATATACTCTAGCATATAGATAATAATAATAATGGACGGTATATACACTAGCATATAGATAATAATAATAATAATAATAATAATAATAATAATAGATGGTATATACGCTAGCATATAGGTAATAATTATAATAGTAATAATGCCAGATATATATTCTATCATAAAGTAAAGGTAAAGGTTTCCTCTTGACATTAAATCTGGTCATGTCTGACTCTGGGAGAAGAGCCACCGTTGTCCATAGACGCTTCCAAGGTCATGTGGCCGACATGACTGCATGGAGTGCTGTTACCTTCCTGCTGAAGCAGCACCTATTGATCTACTTACATTTGCATGTTTTGGAACTGCTAGGTTGGCAGAAGCTGGGCCTATCAGTGGGAGCTTACCCTGCTCCCCAGATTTGAACCGTAGCAAGTTCAGCAGCTCAGTGGTTAAATCCGCAGTGCCACCAGGGGGCCCTATATACTAGCATATAGGTAACAACAACAAGAACAATAATGCCACACCTGTGGTGCCAGTATTGAGGGAGATAAACCAGGGTATTATAAAGCAGCTTTATCTTTATAATATTATCTTTATAATTAAGATAAAGCGGCTCTCCTTCTGTCCTCCTTCTGCTCAGCTCCCCGAAGGCAACCTGCAGCTGACGCTCTACCAATACAAGACTTGCCCTTTTTGCAGCAAAGTCCGGGCTTTCCTCGACTATCACCAGCTGCCATACGAGATCGTGGAGGTGAATCCAGTCATGAGGCGGGAGATCAAGTTTTCCATGTACAGAAAGGTGCCTATCCTCCTTGCTGACACTGGGAGTACCCTGGTAAGTGTCCCAATTGACCTATAGTCATCTATTGTCTATTATTATTATTATTATTATTATTATTATTATTATTATTATTAATGGAGCCCCCGGTGGCACAGTGGGTTAAAGCCCTGTGCTGGCAGGACTGAAGACCGACAGGTCGCAGGTTCAAATCCGGGGAGAGGCGGATGAGCTCCCTCTATCAGCTCCAGCTCATTATGCGGGGACATGAGAGAAGCCTCCCACAAGGATGATAAAAACTTCAAAATTATCCAGGCGTCCCCTGGGCAATGTCCTTGCAGACGGCCAATTCTCTCACACCAGGAGTCACTCCTGACACGACCAAAAAAATTATTATTATTATTATTATTTTATCTATTTACATTTATATGCCGCCCCTTTTCACCCCGAAGGGGACTTAGAGCAGCTTACAAGTAATATGTAAATAGAATATATTGTATTATTTCCATAGCACAATATTAGTATTATATATTACTTTATAGTACTATACCACTATATTGTAATATTATTAGTAATATTACATGTAATATAAAATATATAATTATAATATCATATTAGTAGTAGTATTATATTGTATTAAATTATAATATTATCAATATTATATGTATATACAATATATTATATTATTAGTATTATTATTAACTGGAGTGGGCAACTAATAGGCAGAAAAGTTCTCCAACCTTCATTCACCATCATCTGAATGCTGATGCTGCTAAAAAAAACTTCAAGCTAGACAGAGGACAAGGCGGAAAAAAAAGGCAGCTGTAAAAATAAAGTTATTTCTCAGTGTCTTTGGCTGGATCTACTCTTTAAACTGAATTTGGATGGACATCTTTCAGGAGTGGTTCACAATCTGTTTTTGTCTTCCCTTACTTCCCAGCAATTGAACGACTCTTCTGTGATCATCAGTGCAATTAAAACCTATCTCATTTCCAGGTGAGAGTGCATTTCTGCCTCTTTGGGGATTTTGGCTTGCTTTCCCATTGCCAGGATAATGTTAATTCCGAGTCCTTGATTATCCTTGTTCCCCAAACCATCGCTTATTTTAATTACTTGTGGGTTGTATTGCTTCTCAGTCTCATAGATCTTCTCAGGCAATCTGTATATATATATAAAATCAAAGTATGTATGTTTGTTTGGGTTGCTGTGAGTTTTCCGGGCTGTCTGGCCATGTTCCAGAAGCATTCTCTCCTGACGTTTTGCCCACATCTATGGCAGGCACCCTCAGAGGTTGTGAGGTCTGTTGGAAACAGGGAAGTGGGGTTTATATATGTATGTATGTTTTGTTGATTTATTGAGATAAATTACCTCTCTCTTTCTTATCTCAATATTTATTGGCACTTGGGGCGGCTAACATGAGGCCAAGCCCAAAAATACAATACAACAAAATAAAGTACAAAATGCAGACAACAAAAATACATCAGAATAAAATACATACAGTCGCAAAATAAAATAAATAAAGCAAATTGACATAATATAAAATCAAAGACAATATTACAATATTTCATTACATTTAAACCCATATTCTGACATGTTTGTTTGTATCACAAAGGTAGTTGCTAGGTTAAGTGGTCCTCTGTGATGTCACTGTGAAAGAAAGGTGACATTTATAGGAAGGGAAGGGAAGAAGGAAAGAAGGAAGGAAGGAAGGAAGGAAAGAAAGAGAAAAAGAAGGGGGAAAAGAAGGGAGAAGGAGAAGGAAGAGAAGAGAGAAGGAAGAGAAAGGAAAGGGAAAAGTATGAGGGGAAGGAAGAAAGAAAAGAAAGAAAGAAAAAGAAAGAAAGAAAGAAAAAAGAAGAAGAGAAGGAGAAAGAGAGAGAGAGGGAAAGGAAAGGGGAAAGGAAGGAAAGAGAGGAGGGAAAGAGTGGAAGATAAAGGAAAGGGGAAAGGTAGGGGAAGGAAGGAAAGAGAGAAGGGGGAAAAGGGCGAAAGAGAGAAGGGGGGAAAGTGGAAGGAAGAGAAGTGAGAGAAGGAAGAGAAAGGAAAGGGGAAAGGTATGAGGGGAAGGAAGTAAAGAAAGAGAAAAAGAAGGGGGAAAGAGAGAAGGGAGGGAAAAAGTGGAAGGAAGAGAAAGGAGAGAAGAAGGAAGGGGGAAAGGGAAGGAGAGGGAAGGGAAAGAAAGAAAAAGAAGGAAGGGAAGAGAAGGGAGGGAAAGAGTGGAAGGAAAGGAAAGGAAAGAAAAGGGGAAAGGTATGCGGGGAAGGAAGGAAAAAAAGAGAAGGGGGAAAGAGAAGGGAGGGAAAGAGTGGAAGGAAAGGAAAGGTATGAGAGAAAACGAAGGGGGAAAGAGAAGGGAGGGAAAAAGTGGAAGAAGGAGAGAAGGAAGATAAAGGAAAGGGGAAAAGTATGAGGGGAAGGAAGGAAAGAGAAAAAGAAGGGGGAAAGAGAAGGGAGGGAAAGAGTGGAAGGAAAGGAAAGGGGAAAGGTATGAGGGGAAGGAAGGAAAGAATGAGAAAGTCGGGATGAAGGAAGGGGGGGGCGAGAGAAAAATAAAGGAAGGGAACGATAGGAAGAAGGAGAAAAGAAAGTAGAGGAGGGAAGAAAGTGGATGCGGGAAACCAATGCAAAAAGTCAAGAAAGGAAAGAGAGAGGAAGAAAGGGAAATGGAGGCAAAAAGGAAAGAGAGAACCTGACGACCATTTGCAGACTTGTAATCCCGCTTGTTTTCCCATCCTCTTTGCAGGAAGAGTTTGGAAGAGATTGTGTCCTATTACCCTCCCATGCAAGCTCAGAACGAGCGGGGCAAGGAGGTGACCGAGTACAGCAACAAGTATTGGCTTATGTTGGACGAAAAAGAGACGCTGCGCATTTATCCTACCAAAGACACCCGGGTGTAAGCATTGCTTCCGCTGTAGGTAGAAAGAGCGTTTTGGGATCAGGAATAGAAGAAGGGAATTGGGGGGGGGGGGGGGGTTGCACACCAGTCTCCCAAGATATACAGCGAAATGCCCCTGCGTGTCTCTCTTGCCTCCAGGGAGGAGATGAAATGGCGGAAGTGGGCCGACGACTGGCTGGTCCATCTCATCTCGCCCAATGTCTACCGCTCTCCCGGCGAGGCCTTGGCCTCCTTCGATTACATTGTTCGCGAGGGGAAGTTTGGCCCCGTGGAAGGCCTCTTTGCCAAGTACGTGGGTGCCGCCGCCATGTTCTTCATCGGCAAGAGGCTCAAGAGCAGGTTGGTGCTTCCCAATTTCCTCTCTTTCTGGCCCTTTCTTTCCTTCCTCCACTTTCCTCATACATCTTCCTCCCTTCCTTTCTCTTCCTCTATTTGTCTTTCTTCCTCTTTCTTTTGTTCCTTCTTTCTTCCCTTTCTTTCTCTTCCTTTCTTTGTTTTTTCCTTTCCTCCCTTCCTGCCTTTTCCTCTTTCCTTTTCTTCCTTCCTTCCTTCTTCTTTCTTTCCTTCCTTTTTCCCTTCCTTCCTTCCTTCCTTCCTTCCTTCCTTCCTTCCTTCCTTCCTTCCTTCCTTCCTTCCTTCCTTCCTTCCCTCCCTCCCTCCCTCCCTCCCTCCCTCCCTCCCTCCCTCCCTCTTTCCTTCTCCTCCTTCTTCTTTCTTCCTTCTCTATCTTTTTTCTCCTTCCCTTCTTTCTTTCCTTCCTTTCTTTCTTCTCTCCTGCCTTCCTTCTCCTTCCCTTTCTTTCCTCTTTCTCTCTCCCTCCTTTTTTCCTTTCTTTCCTTCCTTCCTTCCTTCCTTCCTTCCTTCCTTCCTTCCTTCTTTCTTTCTTCCCTTTCTCTCCTTTTCTTTCCTTTCTCTTTCTTCTCTCCTGCCTTTCCTCTCCTTCCCTTTCTTTCTCTTTTCTTCTCTCCCTCCTTTTCTTTTTCTTCTTTCTTCCTTCTTCCTTCCTTCCTTCTCCTTCCTTCTTTCTTCTCCTCCTTTTCTTCTCCTTCCTTCTTTTTCTTCTCTCCCTCTTTCTTTTTTCTTTCTCCTTCTTCCTTCCTTTCCTTTCTTTCTTCTCTCCTCCTTTCCTTCTCCTTCCTTTTCTTCTCTTTCTTCTCTCCCTCCTTTTCCTTCCTTCCTCCTTCCTTCCTTCCTCCCTCCCTCCCTTCCTTCCTTCCTTCCTTCTCTCCCTCCTTTCCTTCACCTTTTCTTCCCTTTCTTTCTTCTCTTCTTTCTTTCCTTCTCCTTTCCCCTCTCTCCCTTTTTCTCTTTCTTGCTTCCTTTCCCTTCATACACATCATCTTTCTTTCCAAGTGATATGGCACTTCACCTAGCATCGGTCAATCCAGTGACATCACAGAGGGCCACTTCACCTAACAACAGCCTTTACGGCACAGACAGACATACACACTTCGGTTTTTCTTTATAACGATGAGTAGCAATATGTAAATGTTTTTAAAAATGTATAATATTAATAAACTTTTGCAGGCACCATTTGCAAGACAACGTCAGGGAAGATCTGTACAAAGCTGCTAACGATTGGGTGAAAGCTGTCGGCAAGAAGAGGATGTTTATGGGGGGAGCGCAGCCAAACCTGGCAGACTTGGTAAGGGAATGAATGGGCAAGGCTTGCTAAAAACAATCATTCCGGGAGGTGAATATTTGCTAGCTGTACTATGAGCAACAAGGAGATGCCGACCATACTGTTAGACGTAGAGGCTGCACCCGAATCTCCAGCACCTGGGAATTTGGGTTGTTGGGGGTTTTCCGGGCTGTCTGGTCATGTTCCAGAAGCATTCTCTCCTGATGGGAGTTTGAATCTCTGTCCAACTGCTGGGTGACCTTGGGTGAGTCACACTCTTTCAGCTTCAGCTTTTTTTGGAATCCTAGAGTTGGAAGAGACCACAAGGGCCACCCAGTGTAACCTCCTTCTGCTGTGCAGGAAGACACAATCCAAACCCTCCTGACAGATGGCCATCCAGACTTCACCACACTTTCTAATGTTGAGGCAGAATCTCTTTTCCTTCCATTGGAATCCATTGCCATCTTATTGAAAGAGTTCCATTGTGCATAAGGGGACTTGAGCATGGATATTGATATCCATGGCGGGATGGGGGGGATACCAAGAACATCAATGGAGGGCCAAAATTTTCTCGATGCCTGGTATAGTTACTTCCTGTTGGCTGTTCAACACTACAGTAGGACCCATTGAATCAGTTCTTGAATTGGGGAGTCAAGATATTGATAATAATATTTTAATATAATACAATATAATAATTATATATTCTATATTACATGTAATATTGCTACTAATAATAATACAATTGGTATAGTACAATATAGTAATATATAACACTAATATTGTGCAGTGCTAATAATATAATATATTGTATGTACATATAACTTGTAAGCTGCTCTGAGTACCCTTGGGGCGAGAAGGGCGAGACATCAATGTTGTAAATAAATAAATAGTTTTGCATCAAACCCTATAGGATACAAGAGGCTGCTGATGGTTGGGCAAGGAAGCAGGATAGGAAACTTTAATGGTTTTCATCCCACTTGTTTTTCAGTTATAAACATGGAAGTAAAGAGACAGGAGATCTGAACAGTAAATCCATTATTATTATTATTATTATTATTATTATCTATATGCTAGTGTATATACCCTCTGTTATTATCATTTAGACATAAATATTATGCTGGATGAACCAAATCGTGCTGTACTGAATGAATGCTTAGCTATATTTAATATTTTTCTATGCCAACATTTAACTTATGGAGATGATTTTTTTTTATTTATTTACAGTATTTATATTCCACCCTTCTCACCCTGCAAGGGACAATGCACATATACATGACAAACTATCAATGCCATTTAGATATACAACATATATAGACAGGCACAGAGGCAATTTAACATTTCATGTTTTCCGGCTTCATGAGGATATGCTTATTTCCGGCCACAGGGGGAGCTGCCGCTTCACCGTCCACTTGTGACACCAAATCCTTGATGGAGTACTTCCTCATTCTTTCACACACTGCTGGAAGGTTTTATGGTGTCGTAAATTAGTTAAATTAGTCTCCCCGCATAAAGTGATACCTAAATTTCCTACTTGACAGATGCAACTGTCTTTCAGGCTACATAGGTCAACAGCAAGCTAGACTATTAATGGTCGGGAGTTCACTCTAATCCGGACTGGCTTTGAACTCATGACCTCTCGGTCAGTAGTGATTTAATGCAGCTGGCTACTAACTAGCTGTGCCACAGCCTAGTCCAGTCATCCCCTTCTAGCCATGTTCTCACTTTCATTCAATCTCATATTGAGTGGGATATATGAACGGTGCCTCCTCTGCCAACATCATCCACCTGGGCCCCAATTAAGCACCTTGAAGAACAGAGGCTGGGCACTCACTGCTTTCTCTCTCTTCCCCTCGCCCAGGCCGTGTTCGGAGTCCTGCGTGTCATGGAGGGCTTGGAAGCTTTTGACGACATGATGGCACACACCAAGATCCAGCCTTGGTACCACCGGATGGAGGCCGCCATCAGAGAGGCCCGGAGTGCCAACTGATGCTTGCGTGTTTGCACTTGATAAGCTTGGGATGCTGTTTCCCTTTCGGAACTGCAACAAAATAGGGTCGTTTGGGCCAAAAGAGTGTGCATTGTAGAGCTAGTCGAGCTCTTAGGGGAAGCTGGAGAGCAGCAGAAACCAAGACGGTTTGCACAACGGTTTTCCGGCAAACAGCAATAGTCTGCGGCTATTGTTGAGAGTTGACTTCCAAGGCTTCTAAACAATCCTGCATTGTCTTCCTGGATTTTTTTGACATCTGCAAAATATTACCTTAGTCCAAAAGAGAATGGGACGAGGCTTGGGAAAGAAGGCATTCTGGGCTGTGATGGAGAAGACATGCATGCCTGCAGGATGCAGAGCAAGCGCGCCTTCCCATTTTGCACGGTCTTAAACTGTCTGGGCCTCTTTCTTGGGGGCTTCTTTGTTTGCCAGTTGTCGGACTTTGCAAGAATAATTCAAGCTTGATGGAGAGTCTCTATCCAATATTTCTTTGTTTTTTAAAAAAGGCGCACACTTCTGGAAATGCATAATAATAATAATAATAATAATAATAATAATAATAATAATAATAATAAATATTATTATTATTGTATTTACTACCTGCCTCTCTTTGTGACTTGAGGTGGATTACAGCATAAAAACACATAAACAATGTAAAATTCTAGAAATAGACATATTTCTATAAAAGATAAATATTACAACCTATTTATATAAAACATATTAAAATACACAGAACAGAGATTGAACACAAGACATTTGGGGAGGAGAGAGATCTAGAAACTTTCAAGCTTGGTCCATCATCTAGCCTTTTCTCTCTTTGTATGTGTGTATACACACTTTGCAGTACTCTTTCTGCAGTATTCTTTCCTTCTTCCCTTGCTTTCCCTCCTATGCCTTCTTCCTTTTTTCCTTCCTTTTTTTTCCCTTCCCTCCCCTTATACCTTTCCTATCTTTCATAGAGTGTCCTAGAGTTGGAAGAGACCTCTAAAGGCTATCCATTCCAACCCCTTTATTCTGCCCTGCAGGAAAACCACGATCAAAGCCCTCCTTACAGATGGCCACCCAGCCTTTGCAGTACTCTTAATAATGATAATACACGCGCGCGCGCGCACACGCACACACCTATATGTGCGCATGCACTATAATTTCTATATTATTGATATTGTGCATTTTTTCTATTATAGTTTCTTAACATTTGACCCATCAGTTAGCACCCATCTTTTCAGTTTTTTGTATCTTCTTCTCTTTTCTTCCTTTCTTTCCTTCTTCCCTAGCTTTCCCTCCTACACCTTCTTCCTTTTTTCCTTCCTTTTTCTTTTTTCCTTCCCTCCCCTTATACCTTTCCTATCTTTCATAGAGTGACCTAGAGTTGGAAGAGACCTCTAAAGGCTATCCATTCCAGCCCCTTTATTCTGCCCTGCAGGAAAACCACAATCAAAGCCCTCCCGACAGATGGCCACCCAGCCTTTGCAGTACTCTTAATAATGATAATAGGATCCTGGAGTTGGAAGGACATGTGTCATAACAATGATTTTATCAGACACTCAAGTACATCTGAAATGACCATTTTATGCCAAGTGTTTGGGATACTGCAAGCATGGGCCAACTTGGGCCCTCCAGGTTTTTTGGACTTCAACTCCCACAATTCCTAACAGGTTGTTTTGAAGTCCAAAACAAACAAGTTGGCCCATGCATGGGATACTGTGTTTGGCCTTAATTGACAGTAATGCTTCCTCGTTTTTCCTGACTAGGCCTCAGCTCATGGGATATTTTGTACGGCCTTAATTGACAGTAAGGCTTCCTCAACTTGTTTTTCCCAACTAGGCCTCAGCTCATGGATACTATGTGTGGCCTGAATTGATGGTAAGGCTTCCTGAACTGTGTATGGCCTTAATTGACAGTCAGGTTTCCTCAACTTGGTTTTCCTGTCTAGGCCTCAGCTCATGGGATACTATGTATAGTCTGAATTGACAGTCAGGCTCCCTCAGCTTCTTTTTCCCAACTAGGCCTCAGCTCATGAGATACTGTGTTGTTGTTCATTCATTCAGTCGTCTCCGACTCTTCGTGACCTCATGGACCAGCCCACGCCAGAGCTCCCTGTCGGCCGTTCACCACCCCCAGCTCCTTCAAGGTCAGTCCAGTCACTTCAAGGATGCCATCCATCCATCTTGTCCTTGGTTGGCCCCTCTTCCTTTTTCCTTCCACTTTCCCCAGCATAATTGTCTTCTCTAGGCTTTGCTGTCTCCTCATGATGTGGCCAAAGTACTTCAACTTTGTCTCTAGTATCCTTCCCTCCAGTGAGCAGTCAGGCTTTATTTCCTGAAGTATGGACTGGTTGGATCTTCTCGCAGTCCAAGGCACTCTCAGAACTTTCCTCCAACACCACAGCTCAAAAGCATCTATCTTCCTTCGCTCAGCCTTCCCTAAGGTCCAGCTCTCACATCCGAAGGTGACTACGGGGAATACGATTGCTTTAACTATGCTCATCTTTGTTGCCAGTGTGATGTCCCTACTCTTCACTATTTTATCGAGATTAGTCCTTTCTCTCCTCCCAAGAAGGAACTGTCTTCTGATTTCCTGGCTTCTGCAGTCATCTTTGCACCTAGAAATACAAAGTCTGTCACGGCCTCCACGGTTTCTCCCTCTATTTTCCAGTTGTCAATCATTCTTGTTGCCATAATCTTGGTTTTTTTGACGTTTAGCTGCAACCCGGCTTTTGCGCTTCCTTCTTTCACCTTGATTAGAAGGCTCCTCAGCTCCTCCTCGCTTTCGGCCATCAGAGTGGTGTCATCTGCATATCTGAGGTTGTTAATGTTTCTTCCAGCAATTTTCACCCCAGCTTTGCATTCATCCAGCCCCGCACATCGCATGATGTGTTCTGCATACAAGTTAAAGAGGTTGGGTGAGAGGATGCAGCCTTGCCATACGCCTTTCCCAATCTTGAACCAGTCTGTTGTTCCGTGGTCAGTTCTGACTGTTGCTACTTGGTCCTTGTACAGATTCCTCAGGAGAGAGACAAGGTGGCTTGGGATGCCCATCCCACTAAGAACTTGCCACAATTTATTATGATCCACACAGTCAAAGGCTTTAGAATAGTCAATGAAGCAGAAGTAGATGTTTTTCTGAAACTCCCTGCCTTTCTCCATTATCCAGCGGATATTGGCAATCTGGTCTCTCGTTCCTCTGCCTTTTCTAAACCCAGCTTGAACATCTGGCAACTCTTGCTCCATGTATTGCTGGAGTCTTCCTTGCAGGATCTTGAGCATTACCTTACTGGCATGAGAAATAAGGGCCACTGTACGGAAGTTTGAGCAGTCTTTCGCATTTCCCTTTTTTGGTATGGGGATATAAGTTGATTTTTTCCAATCTGATGACCATTCTTGTGTTTTCCATATTTGCTGGCAAATGGCATGCATCACCTTGACAGCATCATCTTTTAAGATTTTAAACAGTTCAGCTGGGATCCCGTCGTCTCCTGCTGCCTTGTTGTTAGCAATGCTTCTTAAGGCCCATTCAACCTCACTCCTCAGGATGTCTGGTTCTAATTCATTCACCACACAGTCAAAACTATCCTCAATATTATTATCCTTCCTATACAGATCTTCTGTATAGTCTCACCACCTTCTCTTGATCTCTTCAGCTTCTGTTAGATCCCTGCCATCTTTGTTTCTTATCATACCAATTTTTGCCTGAAATTTACCTCCAATGTTTCTAATTTTCTGGAAGAGGTCTCTTGTCCTTCCTATTCTGTTGTCTTCTTCCACTTCCATGCATTGCTTATTTAAAAATAGTTCCTTATCTCTTCTGGCTAACCTCTGGAATTGCGCATTTAACTGGGCATCTCTCCCCTTATCACTGTTTCCTTTTGCTTTCCTCCTTTCTTGGGCTACTTCCAGTGTCTCAGCAGACAACCATTTTGCCTTCTTGGTTTTCTTTTTCTTTGTATAGATTTTTCTTTGTATAGATACTGTGTATGGTCTGAATTGACAGTCAGGCTTCTTCAACTTGTTTTTTCTGACTAGGCCTCAGCTCATGGAATACTGTGTGTTCTGTCGCCGCTGGACCTGAAATGCCTTTAAGAGAGGATGTATGGCTTCGATCCAGCGGGAAGTCAGGGCCCCCAAAAAGGAGCTTTTAGAGAAATTTCCCTTATTAAACATTTATAAGGCTAGAGCATAAATATAACAGTCTTTTATTGATGAACAAACAGGAATTGTAAAACTTTCTTAACAATCTCTTGGCTCTTGCAATCTTGTTCACAGGGAACAGGCACTATCTTCAAAAAACCTTGTTTAAAGGAAAATTCCCCTTTCTAGCTCCTCCCAGGCTGCTGTGAACCTAAACCTTATTGATGTAGATTCACTACCGGGCTGAACTGCATCTCAACGCCGAGCGAACCTATCAAAAGGCTTGTAATCACTTAGCTGCTTTGATGGTTAGAGCTGTTATTCCCTCCGGAATTCCTCAGGGCTGTAAGGCTGTTTCCCCGGAACCTTTGGGAATCTTCAGAGGCTCTCAAGACTGTTCTCCCCCGGAAAGTCTTAAGGGACGAAGCCTTTGCACAGGAGGACGTCTGTATACATCCTCTGCATTGACTTCCTTTTTGAGACTAACTGAAAAATGGCCCCTTCCCTCCAAAAAACCCAGAGAGGGGCGGGACCAGGGATCCTAACTATAATAGACAGGTGGCTTGCCCTATGATCGCAAACTATAACAGGAAGCCACCCTGTTGCAAAATCCCAAGCCTGGGATTGCAAACCAACATTTAATTCAAAGCAAATAAAATTGGAGCTCCTGGAACAGCTGTTCCGCGTATAGTCTGAATTGACAGTCAGGCTTCCTCAGCTTGTTTTTCCTGAGTAGGCCTCAGCTCATGGGATACTGTGTATGGCAGTGTTTCTCAACCTGGGGGTCGGGACCCCTAGGGGGGTCACAAGGGGGTGTCAGAAGGGGTCGCCAAAGACCATTAAAAACACAGTATTTTCTGTTGGTCATGGGGGTTCTGTGTGGAAAGTTTGGTCCAATTCTATCATTGGTGGGGTTCAGAATGCTCTTTTATTGTAGGTGAACTATAAATCCCAGCAACTAAAACTCCCAAATGTCAAGATCTATTTTCCACAAACTTCACCAGTGTTCACATTTGGGCAAATTAAGTATTCATGCTAAGTTTGGTCCTGATCCATCACTGAGTCCACAGTGCTCTCTGGGTGTAGGTGAAATACAACTCCAAAACTGAAGGTCAATGCCCACCAAACCCTTCCAGTATTTTCTGTTGGTCGTGGGAGTTCTTTGTGCCAAGTTTGGTTCAATTCCATCATTGGCGGAGTTCAAAATGTTCTTTGATTTTAGATGAACGATAAATCCCAGCAACTGCAACTTCCAAATGACAAGATCAACCCCTCTCCCAACTCCACCAGTATTCAAATTTGGCCATATTGGGTATTTGTGCCAAATTTGGTCCAGTGAATGAAATATATCCTGCATATCAGATATTTACATAACGATTCACAACAGTAGCAAAATTACAGTTGTGAATTGGAACAAAATAATGTTATGGTTGGGGGTCACCACATCATGAGGAACTGTATTAAGGGGTCCTGGCGTTAGGAAGTTTGAGAACCACTGGTGTATGGTCTGAATTGACAGTCAGGCTTCCTCAACTCGTTTTTCCTGACTAGGCCTCAGCTCATGGGATACTGTGTAAGGCTTCCTCAACATATGCTCGTGGATACTATGTGTGGCCTGAATTGACAGTCAGGCTTCCTCAACTTGTTTTTCCTGAGTAGGCCTCAGCTGTTGCCATAGCGACAGCCCAACGCCGGCCACGGGGAGGGGCGGGGCCTATTGTGATGCCACGCCCCCCGGGCTGCCTGCCAGGGGGTGTGGCCGGGCGAAGGGCGAGCGGGGCCAGAGGGAGCGCGGCAGAGGCGCGAGGCGGAGGCGCGAGGAGGGTCACGTGGGGGTTTGAAGGGTCCAATGGGGGAGCGGCGTACGGCGTGCCGGGGGCGGGGCCGGAAGTCCCCGCCGGCGTGTTGGAGCTGCGGCTGCTTCTCGGCCAGTGCGTGCGGGCGCTGCGAGGGAGGGCGGGGCCTCCATGGCGGCAGCACCACCGGCAGTAGCAGCGCCGCCGCCGCCGCCCGGAGCAGCCTGGCCTCCTACCGGCGCCTCGCCCGCAATTTCGAGGAGGTCCTCCGGCGGCGCTTCCGCGGACGCACCCGGGCTTCCTGGTGAGCGGCTCCCACAATCCCCTTGTCACTCACCCTCAATAATCCCCTCACAAGCACGGGCCTGGGCGCCAAAGGGGGCTGTTGCTACTTGGGAAGCCTGAATATTGAAAAGAATTGGACTACAGCTCCCACAATCCCCTCACAAGCATGGGCCTTGTGGCAAAAGTGGATTACAACCCCCCCGAAAGCCAGAGCATTGAAAAAATAGGACTGCAGCTCTCACAATCCTCTAGTAAACATGGCCCTACTCATTATATGGGACCACCACTGCCTCATAAGCACAGCCATTGTTAAAATGACACTTCAGCTCCCACAATCCCCTCATAGACAGAGGCCAATTCATTATATAGGCCTACCAAGCCATCATAAGCACAGCCATCGCTAAAATTATACTCCAGCCCCCACAATCCCCTCATAGACAGAGGCCTGTTCATTATATGAGACCACCACTCCCTCATAAGCACAGCCGTCGTTAAAATGACACTATAGTTTCCACAATCTCCTGATAGACAGAGGCCAATTCATTATATAGGCCTACCACTCCCTCATAAGCACAGCCATTGTTAAAATGACACTACAGCTCCCACAATCCCCTCATAGACAGAGGCCAATACATTATATGGGCCTACCACGCCCTCATAAGCACAGCCATCGTTAAAATTATACTCCAGCCCCCACGATCCCCTCATAGACAGAGGCCTGTTCATTATATGGGACCACCACTGCCTCATAAGCACAGTCGTCGTTAAAATGACACTACAGCTCCCACAATCCCCTCATAGACAGAGGCCTGTTCATTATATGAGACTACCACTCCCTCATAAGCACAGCCGTCGTTAAAATGATACTACAGCTCCCACGATCCCCTCATAGACAGACCTGTTCATTATATGGGACCACCACTCCCTCATAAGCATAGCCGTCGTTAAAATGACACTACAGCTCCCACAATCCCCTCATAGACAGGCCTGTTCATTATATGGGACTACAACTACCTGGGAAGCCTGACCATTGGGGGGAAAGGAACTGCAGCTCCCACAAGCCCCTCGCAGGCATGGGCCTTGTCACAAAAGAGGACTAGAACTATAAGTATATAGGTTTTTTCGGGCTATATGGCCATGGTCTAGAGGCATTCTCTCCTGACGTTTCGCCTGCATCTATGGCAAGCATCCTCAGAGGTAGTGAGGTCTGTTGGAACTAGGAAAAAGGGTTTATATATCTGTGGAATGACCAGGGTGAGACAAAGGACTCTTGTCTGCTGGAGCTAGGTGTGAATGTTTCAACTGACCACCTTGATTAGCATATCATGGCCTGACAGTGCCTAGAGCAAACTTTTGTTGAGAGGTGATTAGATGTCCTTGTTTGTTTCCTCTCTGTTGTTGTGCTGTTGTAATTTTAGAGGTTTTTTTTAATACTGTTAAAAGGAGGAAACCATGAAAGCATGTGGACAATTTCAACAGAATGGAGGAAACCATGAAAATGAACAAAATCTGGCTACCAGTATTAAAAAATTCTAAAATTACAACAGCACAACAACAGAGAGGAAGCAAACAAGGACATCTAATCACCTCTCAACGAAAATTTACTCCAGGCACTGTCAGGCCATTATATGCTAATCAAGGTGGTCAGTTGAAACATTCACACCTAGCTCCAGCAGACAAGAGTCCTTTGTCTCACCCTGGTCATTCCACAGATATATAAACCCTTTTTCCTAGTTCCAACAGACCTCACTACCTCTGAGGATGCTTGTCATAGATGCAGGCGAAACGTCAGGAGAGAATGCCTCTAGACCATGGCCATATAGCCCGAAAAAACCTACAACAACCCAGTGATTCCGGCCATGAAAGCCTTCGACAATATATTAGTATATATAATACTAATATTGTGCTGTGCTAATAATATAATGTATACACATAATATTGATAATAATATTATAACACATATAACACTAATAATAATATATAATTATATTGTTTATATTACATGTAATATTACTAATAATATTACAATACAGTGGTATAGTACAGTATAGTAATATATAATACTAATTTTGTTCTTTGCTAATCTATATAAATAAAAATGTAATGTTTGTTTGTGGGATTAACATAACTCAAAAACCACTGGGTGAACTGACACCAAATTTGGACACAATACATCTATCAGGCCAACAAGTGACCATCACTCATAAAAACACTGAAGAACACAGTGGAAGAGACTTTAAAAGCCAAACATTAAAAAATACATTACCAAGCATGCGCAAAACCACACATACACACAAACACACATATATACACAAATATATATACACACACATATAGTCGCCTAAGGGCTGAGAACAGCGGTATACAAATAAATAAATAAATAAATAAATATACACACACAAATACACAGACTGGGCCACAGCAACGTGTGGCAGGGAACGGCTAGTAATATAATATATTGTATGTATATATAACTTGTAAGCTGCTCTGAGTCCCCTTCGGGGTGAGAAGGGTGGGACATAAAAGTCTTAAATAAATAAATAAATAAATAAATAGTTTTGCATCAAGCCCTATAGGATACAAGAGACTGCTGATGGTTGGGCAAGGAAAGAGGATAGGAAACTTTGTTTTTCAGTTGTAAACATGAGAGTCAGAAGCTCTGAAGAGTATTGCTGGCCCGTTTTGAGAGTCCCCTCCTTTCAGGACATTTATTTATTTATTTATTTATTTGCGGCATTTATATGTTGCCCTTCTCATCCTGAAGGGGACTCAGGGCGGCTTACAAGTAATATGTAAATACAATATATTATATTATTACCATAGCACAATATTAGTATTATATATTGCTATATTGTACTATACCATTATACTGTAATGTTATTAGTAATATTACTTGTAATATAAAATATCTAATAATTATACCATATTATTATAATTATTAGTATTATTATTATTATGTTACTATATTATATTTCTGCCACTCTTCAACTCAGGAACATGTGATGAGCTCCATGCCTCTCCATACTTGAAAAGTGGCTGAAATGTCCTACGACTGGGAAATTGCTCAAAGTCATGAAGTGCTATGAGTGTTCAATGCATTTCCAAACGGGTGACGTTTTTTATTTGTCTCCCTACAGGTTGTGTCCATCAATTAGGAGTGGAATAGTTGTCACAACACAAAGAAAAGCATTATCAGACTGTGAGACACTCCTGGAAGCTGTACGTTCTTTTCCGGTGTAGCATTATCTTTTTTTGCCCTGAATATGTTAAGCTGTAGTGGGTAGTTGCCATAGGGTTGCAAGGAGGTGGAAGTGTACGGGATGGGTCAACAAAAGCTTGGGAGTGTTACTCTTTCTAAAATAAAAGTTCCCAGAATGTGTCCCTGGTGGTTGTTGTGTTCTGGGAGTTGGTCCAAACAAAACCCTGGGCAGCACCCAGGCAGGTCTTTTCCGTCTTTTATAATTTGTGGCACGTGGATGTGTTATTCTTCCCAGTCTACTTATCCGCAGGTCTTTCTCTCCCCCCACTCCACCGAACGCCCTTCCCCGCCTCCCGGAGAAGAACCATGAAGAGCCGCTCCACAACCCCCCCTTTGCACGTCCATGTGGATGAAAATACCCCTGTCCATGTCCATATTAAAAAGGGTCAGAAAACCCCACCGCCACCCGCAAGAGCCCAGGTATGCGCATGCTGCCTCCTGGTGCCTTTGATGGCTCTGCTGCTGAGAGAGCAGATGCTCAACACAAGCACCAGTGGAAGCTCCAGAATGCATCTGCCACTGCCGGCATCAGGAAAACAAAGCAGGTGGCAGTGGCATGTCTTTGCTTGATGGGCTGCTGTGAATTTTTTTTTGAGCTGTATGGTCATGTTCCAGTAGCATTCTCTCCTGACGTTTTGCCTGCATCTGTGGCGAGTATCCTCAGAAGTTTTGTTGGCAGTGAGGCAAGCAAAGTGTATATTTACCTGTGGATTGTCGAGGGTGGGGGAAAGAACCCTTGCCTGTTTGGAGCAAGTGTGGACGTTGCAGTTAGCAAGCTTGATTAGCATCGAGTAGCTATGAAGCTGCAAAATCAATCAGGAAGGGTATTTGCGTAGAGCCAAGCGGAGTATATATATACCTGTGGATCATCGAGGGTGGGAGAAAGAACCTTTGTCTGTTTGAAGCAAGTGTGAACATTGCAATTAGCAAGCTTGATTAGCATTGAGTAGTCATGAAGCTGCAAAGTCAATCAGGGAGGGTATTTGCATAGAGCCAATCAGAGTCTATATATACCTGTGGATTGTCGAGGCTGGGGGAAAGAACCCTTGTCTATTTGAAGCAGTTAGGGTATTTACAACCTGGCTGTTGTTGCCTGGAGACGTCCTCTGTTTGGGCTGTGTTAACTGGCACTTGGTTATTTGCTGTCTGGAGTTCTCCTGTTTTCTGAATGTTGTTCTTTATTTACTGTCCTGATTTTTTAAATACTGGCTGCCAGGTTTGGTTCCTTTCCATGGTTTCCTCCTTTCTGTTGACATTGTTCACCAGCTTGTGTATTTCAGTGGTTTCTCTATGTCATCTGACATGATGGTTGTCAGAGTGGTCCATCATTCCTGTGTTCTCAAGTAATATTCTGTGTCCAGGTTGGTTCATCAAGTTCTCTGCTATGGCTGACTTCTCTGGTTGAATTAGTATGCAGTGCCAGACAGCAAACAGCCAAGTGCCAGTTAGCACCTCCCAAACAAAGGGTGTCTCCAGGCACAGCAGCCAGGCTACCTCTATGCAGATACCCTTATTGATGGACTTTGCAGCTTCATGGGTACTCATGCTATTCAAGCTTTCTAATAGCAACATTTACATTTGCTTTAAACAAGCAAGGGTTCTTTCTCCCACCCTGGACATTACTACACAGATATATTTATACTCCACTTGCCTCATTTCCAACAGACCTCTGAACAAACCTCTGAGGATATTTGGCATTAACCACAGATGCAGGTGAAATGTCAGGAGAGAATGCTACTGGAACATGATCATACAACTTTTAAAAACTCACAGTGACCCAGTTATTCCCGCCATGAAAGCCTTTGACAACACTTTGCTTGATGCTTACACTCTACCTGTTGGACCTCTGTGCTTCATTCCACATGATGAGCATTGTATTATTGGCCTAGGATGTGTTTATAGGGGCTCTATTTTCCAAATTGAACATGCAGGCCGCATTCGTTTAAGACTTCTCTCAAGTTAAGTACTTTCCAAACTCTAGCATGTAGTGCAAGCGTAAATTGGGGCGGTTGGGAGGGATTCAAGAGGGATATGAGTTTTAAATACCTTATTATTATTATTATTATTATTATTATTATTATTATTATTATTATATTTATTTATATCCCGCGTTATCTCTCCCGAAGGGGACTCAGAGCAACTTGACATAAAAGCATTAGCACACAGTTTAAAATATGCATATATATAAACATTAAAACAATTAAGTAGAGATAGTATTTAAAAATTCAAATTGCATTGTATTTTAGTGTAGTTATTGTATTTTAATTCTGTTTTTATCACACTGTTGGTATTTAATTGTTTAACTTTTGTATTGAACTAGTGTGATATTGTTAGCTGCCTTATTAATAATACTAACTAGAAACTGTTGAATCTATGTGAAATAAGAGCCATAAGTCTCTCATGTATGTGTGTGTGTATCTATATATATACATAGAGAGAGAGGAAAAAAACCTGAAAGGTTTTCAGAAGATTTTTTTTAAAGGTCAGTTACATAACGTCAGTATTTTGGATGGCCAAAGACCTCAAGTAACAGGTGAATTTTCATGTGATGGTTAAATGAAATTAATTGACCTCAGTGGTGAGTGACAAAGAATGGCCATCTTAGCAGGCCTTCATCCTTGGGCAGGAATATGTGGGGTAGAAACATATTGCCTTCACTCTCCCTCCAATATATATATATATATATATATATATATATGTATGTATGTATGTATGGGGGGGCATATATACTGATCAATTTACTGATCAATTCAGTAAATTAACCAAACTAGTCAAATTGCTAGTTGAGTGTTCACAGATAATAATAATAATAATAATAATAATAATAATAATAATATCACACAGACCTAAACGTTTGGGAAGTGTTCGACTTTTGTGATACGAAATCTAGCATATATATCTCGTTTGCTGTGTCATATTGGGTTTCTCTCTCAGTAAAATAATAATAATAATAATAATAATCCAAAAGCATGAATAGTTATCCCAGGTGACAGCAGAATTGACAAGAAGCAACTCGAAAAGCTTACACAATATGGGGATTTAAAGACTCTGGCACAAGCCAGTCAAGAGGGTCCCAGTGGTGATCAGCACACTGGGCGCAGTGCCTCAGGACCTTGGCCTGCACTTAAACACAATCGGCGCTGTCAAAATCACCACCTCTCAGCTGCTTTTGCATACTTGAATTGGCACACATTATTTGCTAATACACCACTCAGTCCGCAACACTTGGGAAGTGTCTGACGTGTGATCAAATACAAAAACCAGCATAGTGGTCTTGTTTGCTGTGTACTAATCTTGTTATGTATCAAATAATAATAGTTTATGTGTAGACCGTCCTATCTCCCCAATGTTTGTAAGACTCATCAGTAAGTAAACAGATCTGGTGTAGATATTAAGTAAGAGAATGGGGTTAGTAGCATCTGCTTTTGTTGACTTGGGTCTGCTTTGGCGGATGTTTTTAAGAGCTAGCATATCAAGGCTGTCATTATATTTTATAGATAGGCATGGGCAAACTTTGGCCTTCCCTCCAGGTGTTTTGGACAGCCTACCGGCTGTTAGGAATTGTGGGAGTTGGAGTCCAAAACACCTGGAGAGAAGGCCAAAGTTTGCCCATGCCTGTTCTAGATTGAATGATTCAGAGATAGATTGTGGCCTACCAATTAGAAGTGTCCGTCCCCTGATAATCCCAGTTGTAGAAAGCCATGGAATTCAGTAGTAGGTCTTCCTCCCGTTGCTTCTGCTGCTCATAGGGCGTCCCTCTTCCCTACCACATGCCAGATCTAATTTTCCTAGAGTGACCAGGGCCTGTGTCTTGCATCATAAGAGCCCAAGCAACCTGGATGATGTCACAATGAACGTCAGTGAGCAAGGACAATAGCTGCTTTCAGCCTGGCCCTTTCCTAGCGATGCGGTATCTATCTTTCCTTTTCCTGAGCGTGGTTACTGCGACCGCACTGTGATGTAGAATGTGGAGCTGTTTTCCGTGGTACTGTGTCTTGGAATGGTTGGCAGGGGAGCTAAGGGGGCGGGCTCCCCGTTCCCTTGCAAAACCTTGGCCTGGACGCTCTCTGGCCAGGGCGTTTGTTGCTAATGCGATGTGTTCCTTCCCTCTCCAATCCTGCAGCAAAGGCACAAGCAAAAAATGAAAGGGGATACCGTGAATGTGCGCCGCAGTGTCCGAGTAAAAACCAGAGTCCCCTGGATGCCCCCTGGCAAAACATCTTGCAGAGAGTCATCTTACAAGTGGGAGGTAAGTGGGCAACAACCACCGGCCTTGGGGTTGGCATACAATAAGAACAAAAGAGCTTGCTGTGTGTTGATCTGTTTTAGTGAAGCTTTGTTTTGACAATAGCCTACATCTCCCCGTGGCCTATACCATTTTGTGGTTTACTAGAAATGTCGTAAATGCAATATTAGCACAGCAGGTTAAACCGCCAGCTGCAGAAAACAATATCAAAAAAATACAGTGGGATAAACACAGGATATAAGATAACAATAATAACCATCGTCATCATCATCATCTATCATCTATATAAATAAAAATGTAATGTTTGTTTGTGGGATTAACATAATTCAAAAACCACTGAATAAATTGACACCAAATTTGTACACAATACACCTATCAGGCCAACGAGTGACAATCACTCATAAAAACACTGAAAAACACAGTGGAAGAGACTTAAAAAGCCAAAAAATAAAAAATACATTAGAACACAGGTGCAAAACCACATATATACACATATACAGAAATATACACGCACACAAAAACCACTGGGTCACAGGGACGCCTAATAACAACAACAACAACAACAACAGTCTTAAGTCCAGCACAAGATTGATCTCCTTCCCAATATTTTAACATGCTTACCCTATCCCCTCTCAGCCTTCTTTCCTTCAAGCTAAACATACCCAACTCTCTTTGCTGCTCCTTATAGGGCTTACCTTCCCCACACTTGATCTCTAGAAACACACCAGGTTGTAAACCGCACTTTCTCTGCGTCTTTAAACCTGGCTCTCTTACCCACTTCTCAGGGCCGTTCCACACAGCTGTATACAAACCAAATTGAGCTGGATTATATTGTGGATTTTCTGTCGTGATATTCTGGGTTAGATGGCTGTGTGGAAGGGCCCTCAGCTTTCCCTTCCCCAAGCTCAACATCTCTCTAAGCCACTCCATTTTGGCATAACTGGAATGAGAGAGTGTAAAGTAGTTTTCTCCAGCAAAAGTTTCATTTATGACTTGTCTAGGTGAAACATTCTTGCCTGAACATTTCTACTTAAATGCTATATCTTGATATCTTGTTAATTTCATCTCAAAAGGTCTAAACCACAAATGTGTTAGTAGAGGTGTGGTGCAGCTAGTTAGTAGTCAGCTGCATTAAATCACTACTGACCGAGAGGTCATGAGTTCGAATCCAGCCCGGGTTGGAGTAAGCTCTCAACCATTAATAGTCTAGGTTGCTATCGACCTATGCAGCCTGAAAGACAGTTGCATCTGTCAAATAGTAAATTTAGATATAGGGAGGCTAATTTAACTAATTTACGATGCTGTAAAACCTTCCAGCAGCGTGCATAAGAATGAGGAAGTACTCCATCAGGACTCAGCCACAAGTGGACTGTGAAGCGGCAGCTCCCCCTGTGGCCGGAATCGAGACTACCCTCATGAAACTGGAAAGCTGGAATGTTAAATTGCCCCTGTGTCTGTCTATATATGTTGTATGTCTAATGGCATTGAATATTTGCCATGCATATGCTCATTGTAATCCACCCTGAGTCCCCTGTGGGGTGAGAAGGGTGGAATATAAATACTGTAAATAAAGTAAAATAAAAAAATAAGCAATATAATCTAAGGGAAAGCCTAGCCTTTTGAGTCACTCTGTCTCATACTCATCCTCTTTGGCCAGGGACCGACCCATCGCCTGGAAATCACTCCTCCAGATTCAGATAAATTACTGTCAGTGCTTCGCCTGAGTGACCTTTCCACCGACGAGGAGGACGCCATTCATTGCAAGATGAACAAGTATGAGAAGAAGATCGATAGCTTGCTGAATGTGGTGGGCACCCTGAAAAATGAGGTGAGTCCATTGGAGAGGGGAGTTGAATTGGCCCCTTTCCCACCAAGCCTGTGCTCAGCCCCATGGTGCTTTTATTCTTAGTAGAAAAGCCATCTTAGGGATGAGCCATCTCATAATTCAGAATGCAAGTATTGCCGGGATATAGGAGAAGGAAAGGATGATGATAATAGGATTGTTGGCGATGCTGACCTCTCTTTTTGGCCCTTTTAATTTTGGCTTTGTGTTTTGCACGTACACTGTGTGTGATTCTGGAGGCAGCTGCTGTTTACCTTGCCTGTTGTGTAAGCAGACACAGCTACAGTACAATCCCCTGGAGCAAAATCCCATTCTTTCCAAACTGATTGGTTGTTGTATTGTTTACTGCAGGGATCCTCAAACTTTTTAAACAGAGGGCCAGGTCACAGTCCCTCAAACTGTTGGAGGGCCGGATTATAATTTGAAAAAAAACATGAATGAATTCCTATGCACACTGCACATATCTTATTTGTAGTGCAAAAAACACTTAAAAACAATACAATAATTAAAATGAAGAACAATTTTAACAAATATAAACTTATTAGTATTTCAGTGGGAAGTGTGGGCCTGCTTTTGGCTGATGGGATAGGATTGTTGTTGTGTGCTTTCAAGTTGTTTCAGACTTAGGTTGACCCTGAGTGAGGGCCGGGTAAATGACCTTGGAGGGCCGTATCCGGCCCCTGGGCCGTAGTTTGAAGACCCCTGGTTTACTGCATCACAATGTCTTTCCCTGTCCCTCTCTTACCATCCTGCCAAGGCCCTTCTCATAAATGCACAGCAGAGTAACTTATTAGCAGCGTGACTCAGCACCAGTAGCCCAAAGTGATAGACAGAACAAAAACACACAGATCAATGTTATCTCTTCCATAGGAGGCTTTTCTTTGTAGTAAAATAATATAGTTGCACTATTTACAACTGCAAATAAAGTTATTTACATTTCCATATTTTTGCTTCCACGCTGGGCTTCCTTCTCATGCAGATAAACAGCCTCTTCTCACACCCAAATTACACAGGAGCTTCACACAGTAGCTTTTTACACACAGCAGCCTTCACATGATGGCATTCAACCCGGGGCTTCTCTCACTGAAGCTTCTCATACTGAGACAGACTTCACACTGAGGCCTACCTCACACTGATTTTTTTTGTCGTGTCAAGAGCGACTTGAGAAACTGCAAGTCGCTTCTGGTGTGAGAGAATTGGCCGTCTGCAAGGACGTTGCCCAGGGACGCCCGGATGATTTGATGTTTTTATCATCCTTGTGGGAGGCTTCTCTCATGTCCCTGTATGAGGAGCTGGAGCTGATAGAGGGAGCTCATCCGCCTCTCCCCGGATTCGAACCTGTGACCTGTCGGTCTTCAGTCCTGCCGGTACAGGAGTTTAACCCACTGCGCCACCAGGGGCTCCACCTCACACTGATGACTGTCGCAGACTGACACCTCTCTCACATTGAGGCACACTAACACCGAGGCCTTCTGTTATAGAACTCCGATATATTATTATTATTATTATTATTATTATTATTATTATTATTACTTTATTTGTACCCCGCTAGCATCTCCCGAAGGACTCGATGCGGCTTACATAGGCCAAGGCCTCAAAACACAACACAACAATACAACACCTAAAGCAAATTAAAAACAGTTAAGCAGTATAAACAACAAACAATAAACACACTCCTAACACACTGAGGCATACTGTCACGTTGCCAGGGCTCTGCCTTATTTAGGTAGAGATGAATCAAACTCCCAGTTTTAACGAACAGTTTAATTAAAACAGCACTTACTTGCTGGTTGTTTTAATGGACCAAAAGATAAAACATAAAGATAGCACCCAGCCACAGAAGAAACAAAAACTGATAGCAAAAACAACTCCATAGTCAAAAGGGTCCAGTCCAGTGGTCAAATGCCGAGAGTTCAATAAACAAAGTCCAGGGATCAAGAGTCTATACCGTAGTCAAAAGCCAGTCCAAAGGTTCAAGGTTCCAGGATTTCAAGATAACAGGAGACAAGTCAGGATACCGAAAATCTAATGGACCTGGGGGAAAAACCAACAGCATCCACCACCAAAATACAACAGATATTTTTCTCCCAAATATCAGTCTCAAGGTTAGCTCCTTAAATCTAGTAACACCCAGCTGCAACCCATCTCCTGCACACCTCCACCCCTAATTGCTTTCACCCATGAACTCCCACTTACAGATTACCAAACCCTCTACAACTAATACTCACATTAACCCTTCCATCACCAACCACCATCAACTGCAAAACATATGGCACATACTAAGTGACAGGCACACCTACTTATATTGAACTGCAGCTTTTGCTGAGTCAGTCCGTCCATTTAACCCTTTCAGTGCTTGACTCATATTTTTGAAATTAAAAATACCTCGTTAATTTTTAATATTTCTGACAAAAACATTTCCAGCTGGAGAAGAGGAAAGAGAAGGCGGAGGTAGGGGCGGGCGAGGATCCCTTAAAACTTTACACAAAGGAGTTTCTTTTTCAATGGCTTTGTTAACGGACGGACCCCATGCTGCCTGTTCATGTGACCATTTCATAATATAGGTTAACACCCTGTGCTGTGGGTATGTTTAAATCCTGTCTAAAGTCTTACAAGATGAAAGCTCCTCAACTTGAAGTAGGCCTGTAAAATGATCAAGGGTCTGGAGAACAAGCCCTATGAGGAGCAGCTTAAAGAGCTGGGCATGTTTAGCCTGGAGAAGAGAAGACTGAGAGGAGACATGATAGCCATGTATAAATATGTGAGGAGAAGTCACAGGAGGGAGGGAGCAAGCTTTTTTTCTGCTGCCCTGAAGACTAGGATGCAGAATTACAAGAAAGGAGATTCCACCTGAACATGAGGAAGAACTTCCTGACTGTGAGATCTGTTCAGCAGTGGAACTCTCTGTCCCAAAGTGTGGTGAAGGCTCCTTCTATGGAGGCTTTTAAACAGACACTTTTTGGGCATCTGTCAGGATGCTTTGAATGCGATTTTCCTGCTTCTTGGCAAAATGGGGTTGGACTGGATGGCCCAACTCTAGGATTCTATGTTTCCATGACCTGGAGGGCCTCAGTCACCTATAGAACTGAGCTGGCACCAGTTGTGCTTATGGCCTTTCCCCACATCTCTGTTTATTTGTTTTTGTTGTGACTGTGTTCACTTGTCCAACGTTCATCTGAGGAGAGCAGAAAGGTGCAGCACCACACCAGCTGCAACGACAACGCTCAAACCTTTCTATACTTGGTCCTTTGGGCCGTTTTGCTGTGTCCCAAATGTTTTGGGGTGTCCTATTGGGAATGTGGTTGGTGTTGAAGAAATCAAGGACTTTTGACATCTTGTGTTGCCCTTGTATGGGATCAGGCCTGAATTGAGACATACACGATGTCCTGAATGAAATGGAACACCTGCAAATAAGTACTTATTCCAGTCAATATGGAATGTTGTAACAATGGCCCCTTTCCAGTCTCGGAGTTCCTTTCCCATGGCCAGCATTCTTTCTCTTCCAGAGCTCACATTCTCATTATTTTGAATGCACAGAAGTCTGGATTCCTTAGCTCCATTTGAGCCTGCATCTTCTCTTAGTTTGGTATTGGTCCTGGTGCACTTCTGTATTTATGTATTTATTTATTCACGACATTTATATGCCGTCCTTCTCAGAGCAGCTTACAAGATATATATACATACAATATATTATATTACTAGCATAGTACAATATCAGTATTATATATTACTATATTGTACTATACAATTATATTGTAATATTATTAGTAATATTACACGTAATATATATATATAATTATAATATCTTATTATTAGCATTATATTGTATTACATTATAATATTATCAATATTATATGTATATACAATGTAATATATTATATTATATTAAGCATAGCACAGGGGACAAGGTGGAACTGTATATTTAGTTTCTTACTTGAACTTTATATTATATTATATTATATTATATTATTATAAGCATAGCACAGGAGACAAGGTGGAACTGTATATTTAGTTTCTTACTTGAACTTCTCTAAGGCTCAAGGCATGCTAAAACAGAGTTAAAATATCTAAATAAATAAAAATGTAATGTTTGTTTGTGGGATTAACATAACTCAAAAACCACTGGGCGAATTGACACCACATTTGGACACAAGACACCTATCAGGACAACAAGTGACCATCACTCATAAAAAACTGAAAAAAACAGCAGAAGAGACTTAAAAAGCCACCAAACAAAAATTACATTACAACACATGCGCAAGACCATATACACACACACATATACATGCAAACACACATACACACACACATATATACACACAGATATACACACACAAAACACATATACACAGACTGGGCCACAGCAACGCATGGCAGGGGATGGCTAGTATATCTATATAAATAAACTGTAATGTCGATTTGTGGGATTAACATAACTCAAAAACCACTGTACAAATTGACACCATATTGGACACAATGCACCTATGAGGCCAACGAGTGACCATCACTCATAAAAACACTGAAAAACACAGCAGAAGAGATTTAAAAAGCCAAAAAATAAAAATACATTACAACACATGCTCAAAACCACACACACACACATATATACAAGCAAACACACATATACACAAATATATACACACACAATACACAGACATGGCCATAGCAACGTGTGGCAAGGGATGGCTAGTATTTATATAAATAAAAATATAATATTCATTTGTGGGATTAAGATAACTCAAAAACCACTGGATGAATTGACACCGAATTTGGACACAAGACACTTATCAGGCCAACGAGTGACTATCACTCATAAACACATTGAAAAACACAGCAGAAGAGACTTAAAAAGCCAAAAAAATAAAAATTACATTACAACCCATGTGCAAAACCACACACACACATATATATACATGCAAACACACATATACACACACAAAACACATATACACAGACTGGGCTACAGTAACGCATGGCAGGGGATGGCTAGTATATTTATATAAATAAAAATGTAATGTTTGTTTGTGGGATTAACATAACTCAAAAACCACTGGCGAATTGACACCAAATTTGGACACAAGACATCTATCAGGCCAACGAGTGACCATCACTCATAAATACACTGAAAAACACAGCAGAAGAGATTTAAAAAGCCAAAAAATAAAACATACATTGCAACAGATGTGCAAAATCACATATAGACAAATATACACACACACACACATATATATATATATACACACACACGCACCAAATGCATATACACAAACTGTGCCACATCAACGCATGGCAGGAGTTGGCTAGTATTAGATAAAAACATAAAACCATTTCAAACACATAGATGAAGAACACATAAACGTAATATTGAAACGCACATTAAGATAGGTAAACGTATCCATTCTCAATTCAAAGTTTATAATGGAGTGGGTGAATGGAGGCTGTCCCAGAGCTCTGCTGAAGCAGCAGCAGCTTTCTTGAGTGGCTTGTGGCTTCAAGCAACCCCCTCTGTCTATTGAATGAGTTTAGCTGTGTCCTCAGGTCAAGATGCCCAAACGGGACGATTCGCGGTGCGTGGCCAAGCGCCTCCTCGAAGAGCAAAAGGACGAGCTGGAAGAGGTCACGCAGGAACTGGTGGAGACCGAGCACGAGAACACCGTCCTCCGGCGCAATATCGAACGCATGAAGGAGGAGAAAGATCTGAGCATGTAATTATGTTCCCAAGCGCTCCGGCTTGATAGGCTTTAGGTCTCTATAGCTGGGCTCACGTAAAAAGATTTTTGGGTGGAAAGGCATTGCAACTGCTCTGGCCTACTAGCTTCCAATTTCCTGAATGTTTTTATATTTTAATAGAGGTTGGTAGAGGGAGACATTCTTTGCTTCACTGTCCACTTGTGACACCGATGGAGCACTTCCTCATTCTTTTTCATGCTTCTGGAGAGTTTTATGGCATTGTAAATTAGTTAAATTAGCCCCCCCGCATAAGTGGTACTTAAATTTCCTACTTGACAGATGCAACTGTCTTTTGGGCTGCAAAGGTTGACAGCAAGCTAGACAAATGGTTGGAAGCTTACTCTGACCCTGAGCTGGCTTCAAACTCATGACCTTTCGGTTAGTAGTGATTTTAATGCTGTGCCAAAACCCGGTTGCATGCAGATTAGAATACCTTAGTCCTATCTCCTTGCTGAGTTGTCTGGTCCCTATCCTGCTGCCCTGCTATTGATCCCTTTCTTCCCTCCCAGACTCCAGAAGCGGCACTTAATGCATGAAAAGGAGTGCTTGATGTCCAAGCTGGTGGAGGCGGAGATGGACGGAGCGGCGGCTTCCAAGCAGATTCAAGCCCTGAAGGACACAATCTGCAAACTGAAATCGGTACGTATCAGAATTTTTTATTGTTGTTGTTGTTGTTGTTGTTTGAAACACCACAAGATGAGTCCACAGCAGACACTCTGCTGGCTGTTATATTGGATCACACATCAGATCCTTCCCAAGTGTCTAGGACTGTGTGATGTATCGACGAATAACGTGTGCAGATCCCAGTAAGGTGGCCCTCTGCAGCTGGCAGATGGTAATTTTGTCAGCGCTGATTGTGTTTAAGTGCAGGCCAAGGTCAAGGGTTCTTTCTCCCACCCTGGACATTATTCCACAGGGATATATACACTCCACTGGCCTCACTCCCAACAGACCTCTCAACTAACCTCTAAAGATGTCATGAGCCATAGATGAAAGCGAACCGTCAGGAACGTGGCCAGGCAATAATAATAATAATAATAATAATAATAATAATAATAATAATAATAATAAATTTTACGGAACCCTTCCAAGGCTTTTGTGGAACTCTCGGATTACATGAAGCACAGTTTGGGAACCACTGCACAATGCTGCTCTGAGGGCCAGCCACCAAAGGACAGCCGTGTTGAAGTTTTACTGTTCGATAACACGTCTAAATGTGTTATGAGGTTGTGGCGCAGCTGGTTGGGAGTCAGCTACATCATAATCACTACTGACCAAAAGATCATGAGTTTGAAGCCAGCTTGGGTCAGAGTAAGCTCCCGACCATTTGTCTAGCTTGCTGTTCACCTTTGCAGCCCGAAAGACAGTTGCATCTGTCAAGTAGGAAGTTTAGGTACCGCTTATGCGGGGAGGCTAATTTCATTTATGATGACATAAAACTCTCCAGCAGCATGCAAAAGAATGAGGAAGTACTCAATCGGTGTCACAAGTGGACCGTGACCCCCGGTGGCCAGAATTCGAAGCATACCCACATGAAGCTGGAAAGTTGAATAGCCTCTGTGTGTCTGTCTATATATGTTGTGTGTCTATGGCACTGAATGTTGTTCATTCGTTCAGTCGTCTCCGACTCTTCATGACCTCATGGCACTGAATATTTGCCATGTATATGTGCACTGTGATTCGCCCTGAATCCACTGCCGGGTGCGAATGGCGGAAGTTAAATACTGTTAATTAATTAATTAATTAATTAAATGCCTCGTTTCTTCTCCTCCCCCCACCCCCCACATCCCCAATTTCAGGAGAAGCACATGACGGTTTCTGACATCAACACCCTCACAAGGCAAAAAGAGCTGCTGTTGCAGAAACTGAGTACTTTTGAAGAAACTAACCGAACTCTCCGGGATCTGCTTCGGGAGCAACAGGGTCGGGAGGTGAGCATTTCTCATTTCTCTTTGAATTCTCTCCTGAGTGCTGAGTGATGACTCCTAGGAGTATTGTTATTATATTTATCTCCTCAAAGGGGATGCAAAGCGGCTTGACACAAAAGCATTTGTATACAATTTAAAAAATACAGAAAGCCAACCATTAAAATGGAATTAAACACAAACAGCACTACAAAATTCACAGTTAAAATATATTCAAAGTCAAAAACCAGTGGGGATATTCTGAACTGGGAGGAAGGGGCCCTTGGAATATTATTATTATTATTATTATTATTATACTGACACAATAACACAGTATGACACAGCAAATGATATATTTATTTATTCATTTATTTCGAATATTTGCATCCCGCCCTTCTAAACCCCTGCTGGTTTTCATATCACAAATTCACAAGTTGAACACTTTAATTATATTATTTACAAGAATATTATTATTATTTGAAACACAACCAGATGAGTCCACAGCAAGCAAGGTCACTCTACTTATTATATTATTACTTATTTACTTATTTACTTACTTTATTATTATTTATTTAGTTATGTATTTATTTTATTTTGGTTTTATTTTGCTGTAATATGTTGTCCAGGCTTGGCCCCATGTAAGCCACTCCAAGTCCCCATTGGGGAGATGGTAGTGAGGTAAAAATAAAGATTATTATTATTATTATTATTATTATTATTATTAATAATAATAATAATAATAATAATATTGGCTGTTGTATTGGATCACACGTCGGACCTTTCCCAAGTGTCTAGGACTGTGTGATGCATTGGCAAATAATGCGTGCAAATCCAAGCAGGGTGGCTTTTTGCAGTTGACAGATGGTGATTTTGTCAGCGCCGACTGTGTTTAAGTGCAGGCCAAGGTCTTTAGGCACTGCACCCATGTGCCGATCACCACTGGGACTACTTTGATTTACTTGTGCCAGAGCCTTTGCAGTTCATTATTATATTATTATATTATATTATATTATAATGTTGATTTATACCCCACTTTATCTCTCAAGGAGGAGTCTCAAAAATGACTGTAAATAAAAGTATGGGCATACAATTTGAAATACAGTAGAGTTTCGCTTATCCAACATAAAGGGGCCGGGAGAACGTTGGATAAGTGAAAATCTTGGATAATAAGGAGGGATTAAGGAAAAGCCTGTTAAATGTCAAATTACGTTATGATTTTACAAATTAAGCACCAAAGCATCATGTTTTACAACCAGTTGACAAAAAAAAGCAGTTCAATACCCAGTAACGTTATGTAGTAATTACTGTATTTAGGAATTTTGCACCAAAACAGACAAGGGTTCTTTCTTTCTCCCATCCTGGACATTATTTATTTATTTCTGTACTGTATATACTCGAGTATAAGCCTAGTTTTTCAGTCCTTTTTTTAGGCTGAAAAGGACTCCCCGGCTTATATTCGAGTCAAGGTTATTTATTATTTTACTTTGTTGTTATTATTACATTTATTTTGTTATTGTTATTTTTATATTATTATTTTACTTTATTTATTATTGTTATTGTTACATTTATTATTTTACTGTGTTGTTATTATTACATTTATTATTTTACACTATTATTATTGTTATTATTTTACTCTATTTATTATTATTGGAAGTATATGTAAACATATTTACATTGAAGAAGGTTAGAATAATGGTTTAATCAGAGTTGGACAGTCTTACAGTTTTATGTAAATACTCAAAAACATTTAACCTTCTGATGCCTAAATTAATATAAATTTATTGGTATCTGTTTTTATTTTGAAATTTACCAATAGCATCTGCATTTCCCACTCTCAGCTTATACTCGAATCAATACGTTTTCCTAGTTTTTTGACGTAAAATTAGGTGCCTCAGCTTATATTCGGGTCGGCTTATACTCGAGTATATATGGTATTTATTTATTAGGAGCATTTCTTTCCTGTCCTTCTCACCTCTGAAGAGGGACTCAGGAAAGCTACCAACAGGCACCATTCGGTGCTGAACAATAACAATAAAGCATAAAATACACACAGCATACATTAAAAACAATTATAAATACATTAAAACAGTTCGCCATTTCACATCGTCTTCCAAATCAATCCATTGCTGTTCGCTAAAAACAATCTTACCATTAAAACAATTTATTCTGCAAACACTTGATTCCAAAACCAGGATTTGAGCTTCTTCCAGAAGGTCATGAGAGAGGGGGCAGATCTAATCTCATTAGGGAGGGAGTTCCACAGCCAGGGGGCTACCACCAAGAAGGCCCTGTCTCTCGTTCCCACCAAGCTTGTCTGCGATGGCGGTGGGATCGAGAGCAAGGCCTCTCCAGGTGAACTTAACGTCCTTGGGGGTTCATAGAGGGAGATACGTTCAGACAGTTAAGCTGGGCCGGAACTGTTTAGGGTTTTATAGGTCAAGGCCAGCACTTTGAATTGTGTTCGGAAGCTAATGGGCAGCCAGCGGAGCTGACGTAACAAGGGGGTTGAACGCTCCCTATACCCCGCTCTAGTAAGCAACTTGGCGGCCGAGCGTTGGACTAGTTGGAGCTTCCAAACAGTCTTCAAAGGCAACCCCATGTAGAGTGCATTGCAGTAATCTATATGGGATGTAACCAGAGTGTGGACCACCGTGGCCAAGTCAGACCTCTCAGGCGGAGGCAGACTGCACTGGATAATACAGAATGTTGGATGAGTGAAAGTTGGATAAGTGAGACTCTACTGTATAAACAAATATGCAGACATTAAAGCAGAATTAAATATAAACAGTATTTTAAAAATCAGTTGGTTTCCCCTGCAATAGGCAGTAAGAGCAGCTAAAGCTTCAGAGAGCTTCTCTTCAACTATTTCAGAGCTCCCTGCTTGGGTGTTGATGGCATGATCGTCAGCATAGATGAATCTCTCTGTCCCTTCTGGCAGTGGCTGGACATTTGCGTAAATGTTAAACATTCTAATAATATAATCTATAAAAATAAAAATGTAATGTTCGTTTGTGGGATTAACAGAACTCAAAAACCACTGGACCAGATTGACACCAAATTTGGACACAATACACCTAACAACCCAATGTATGTTCTTCACTCAAAGAATTGATGTTGTCATTTGGGAGTTGTAGTTGCTGGGATTTATAGTTCAGCTATAATCAAAGAGAATTCTGAACTCCCACCAACGATGGAATTGAACCAAACATGGCACACAGAACTCCTGTGACCAACAGAAAATACTGGAAGGGTTTGGTGGGCACTGACCTTGAGTTTGGGAGCTGTAGTTCACCTACATCCAGAGAGCACTGTGGACTCAAACAATGATGGATCTGGACCAAACTACACGAATACTCAATATGCCCAAATGTGAACACTGGTGGAGTTTGGGGGAAATAGAATCTTGACATTTGGGAGTTGTAGTTGCTGGGATTTATAGTTCACCTACAATCACAGAGCATTCTGAACCCCACCAATGATGGAATTGGGCCAAACCTCCCACACAGAACCCCCATGACCACCAGAGTGGGCCACAGCAACACGTGGCAGGGGACAGTTAGTATAATATAATATATTGTGTATATATATATATATAATATTTATAATATGCTATTATAATTATATATTTATATTACATATAATGTTACTAATAATATTATAATAGAGTGGTATGGTGCAATATAGCAATGTTTAATGCTGATATTGTACTATGCTAATCATATAATATATTGTATGTAATATATACCTTGTAAGCCGCTCGGAGTCCCCTTCGGGGTGAGAAGGGCGGCATATAAATGTCGTAAATAAATAAATAAATACTGAGAGCAGCAAGCATGTTCCCCTGAGGCAGGCCATTCTTTTCTTTCCACCATCTGCTTCTCTCACCCTAGAAGTAGTGTCCCTGAGATTCATGAAATGCACGATGAATCCTTTTCCTTCCTTCTTTCTCTTCTTTTACAGAAAGATTCTCATAAATTAGCAGAGCAACAAGCGGCACTCATGAAAAGGCTGGCTGATTCAGATGCAGAGAAAGCGGTGAATATAAACCAAAGTTCACTGTGTGTGTTGTGTGTGCGGTGTGTCTTTTTCGGCCAGCATATCGATAAGACTGTACGGATTTCCCCCACTGTCGAGGGACAAGGGAGCCAAGTTGCGAAGAGTGTCAATTCCCTAATATTCCGATATCACTTCCCCAAAAAGGAGGTGCCTCTCCTTAAGACTCCGAGACCTGCTTCCATGATCTGTAAAGTGGGAATGGAACTTGCATCCCTTTGGGCTGTTATAAAGATCACTGGGGGAGTTTACAAGAAAAGAAATTAGGGAAATTAGAAATGTCGAGCAATCGATATAAATAAAAATGTAATGTTTGTTTGTGGGATTAATATAACTCAGAAACCACTGGACAAATTGACACCAAATTTGGACAGTACACCCCTAACAAACCAATGAGTGTCCATCACTCCTAAAATTACAAAAACAACAACAACAACAGAACCCAGCAGAATGGACTTAAAAACCCCAGAAATACACCATATCTATCTATCTATCTATCTATCTATCTATCTATCTATCTATCTATCTATCTACACATACACACACACACACTCATGTACATATACACATGCACACATACATACACGTGTATATATCTATACCCAAGCACACATAAATATACACACACACGTCTACATACACACACATATATACATATACACATGCACACATACATGCACACATATATAAACACAAATATGCTTAAGTATAGATAAGTATAGAAGAATACAGATTCTATGCACTGAAAGAACCATCTGAAACAGGACTTATAAAAAAACAACTACCCAGCAAATCCACCCAGCAGTAACTTCTCATACTTAATAATTACATATCAAGTTACAATATAAGATTAACACAATATACGTATACACATTTAAACACACAAATATACACACATATATACACATCTTCACACGCACATATGCACACGCATATATACACCCACCCACACACACACAAACACACACATATATATATATATACAAACACACATATACACAGATACACAAATATTTAAACACATATATACACACAAAATACATATATACAGACTGGGCCACAGCAACGCGTGGCAGGGGACGGCTAGTATATTAGAAGTATGGAATAAATATAGGAAAACGTTAATAGCGGATGGTTTAGTAATAACCCCAATTATAATGGAAAAGAAATTTCCAAAAAATTTAAAAATGTAATGGATAAAAAGTTAAAGCAAAAAAACAACAAAAACGAACTTAGACAAAATAGGGGATTGGATAAAGATTGGAATGAAGAAGGAAATGATGAGGGAAGAATTTAGAGAAGTAAAATGGACATGGTTCCATTGTTTACAATTAGAGCAATGGTTTAAAAACTGGGTAAAAAGAAGTAAAAATCAATTTGAACAAATAATACAAAATGAAAAGGATATAGAGGAGCATGGAAATTTGAAAGGAATAACTAGTGAAGTATATAAGATAATAATTGAAATAAAGGAAGGAAAAACAAAAAATAACATCCTCAAGGAAGTTTGGGAAGGTCACTTGGGGAAAATTGTTACCTAGTAAAAAACTGTTGGGCGAGTGGGCTTATTAACAAAAGACATAAATGTACACCAGAGTAACTTATCAGCAGCAGCGTGACCCAGCACCAGTAGCCCAAAACACAAATAAAGTCCTTTATACTTCCTTCTTTGCTTTCACGCTGGGCTTCTTTCTCATGCAGATAAACAACTTTGCTCTCACAGAGCCTCCTCTCACACTGAAGTTACACAGGAGCTTCACACAGTAGCTGTTTACACACAGCAGCCTTCACACACTGAAACTTCTCACACAATGGCCTTCAACCTGGGGTTTCAACTCTCACCGAAGCTTCTCACACGACGGCTTCTCATACTGAGGCCTTTCTCCCACTGAGACCTCACACACTGAAGGATCTCTCACACTGATGCCTCTCTCACACTGAGGCAAACTAACACTGAGGCCTTCTCATATTGAGGCCTACTAGCACACTGAGGCCCTTCTCAGTAATATATATAAGATAATAATTGAAATAAAGGAAAGAAAAACAAAAAACAACATCCTCAAGGAAGTCTGGGAAGAAGATTTAGGGATCAAAATAAATGAAACAGAGTGGCAACAATCATGGAGACAAAGATATCTAAAGAATTTATCAATATGGGTTAAAGAAAATTCCTATAAGTTAATATGGAAATGGTACCTTACACCAGTAAGAACAGCAAATATAAATAAAAACTACTTTAAAAAGTTGCTGGAGAGGATGCCAAGAATCAGGAACATATATACATATGTGGTGGTCATGTAAATATGTAAATAATTTTTTGGGGAAAGTATTTAGAGAAATAAATACTTTGGGGGAAAGTATTTAGAGAAATAAAAGGATATAATGAACATTAAAATAGAAAGAAGTCCTAGTATAGCTTTATTATCATTATATAATAATAAACAATTGAAAAAAGAGGATGCGATGACAAACTTATTAACAATAGCAAGACTGCTTATAGCAAGGGATTGGAAAAGAAACGGCACCGGAAAATCCCTCCACTTGTCATTTCACTTCTCGTTCCATTGACACGCCAGTCTCAGTCTTCTCGAAACTGCTTCCTCTGTGCCTGTGATTGTTTTTGTGTGTTTTGCTTTTTATTTGTCCTTTCAGCAATTGTTGAAGAAGTTACAAGAGAAAGAGAAGGAAGTGGATGATCTGTTGGTTCAGATCCAGACGGAAAAGGTAATCCTGCTTCCCCGGGTTGGAAATTGGGACCCAAGATTTCCATCTATTTTCTTCCCCCCAGAAATGTAAAAATTAAATCAGAAATAGCATGGCCTTGTATGCAGATGTGTCCCCCACATCCTCGGTGTTGCCTACATCTGCTTTATTCCACAGACCATGCAAATGAACACAAACATTCACATATAGCTCAGTGGATGCTAAGCCCTCACCTTTCTGATTCTCTTTCTGTTTGCGTCCTCTCTTTAGGACCAAGCCAAGACTGCGGCTGAGCTCACGAAATCTATGGAAGCTGTGAGGGGACATTTGCAAGTGCAGCTGCGGAATAAGGAAGCGGAGAATCACCGCTTGGGGATCCAGATTCGGGTACGGCTCTCCTTTTGGATGGCGGCAGAGGGCTGGGCCTCTGCTTGGAGGGAGATCAGACAGTGCAATGAGCTGTGAGCGTTCCAAATAGCTGGTTGAGCCACCATTTCATTTTAAATGTTCCCTCTTGTCTTTCTTCCTTGAAAAATGAGTGCAGAAGGGGTTTCTACTATTATTGTTGTTATAATAATAACAATAACTGTAATAGTAGAAATAATAATAGTAAAAATAGTAGAAACAATAAGAGTAGAAAGTCTGGATGGCCATCTGTTCATAGAATCATAGAATCAAAGAGTTGGAAGAGACCTCATGGGCCATCCAGTCCAACCCCCTGCCAAGAAGCAGGAATATTGCATTCAAATCACCCCTGACAAATGGCCATCCAGCCTCTGCTTAAAAAGCTTCCAAAGAAGGAGCCTCCACCACACTCCGGGGCAGAGAGTTCCACTGCTGAACGGCTCTCACAGTCAGGAAGTTCTTCCTCATGTTCAGATGGAATCTCCTCTTGTAGTTTGAAGCCATTGTTCCGCGTCCTAGTCTCCAGGGAAGCAAACAAGCTTGCTCCCTCCTCTTCCCTGTGGTTTCCTCTCACATATTTATACATGGCTATCATATCTCCTCTCAGCCTTCTCTTCTTCAGGCTAAACATGCCCAGTTCCCTAAGCCGCTCCTCATAGGGCTTCTTCTCCAAACCCTTGATCATTTTAGTCGCCCTCCTCTGGACACATTCCAGCTTGTCAATATCTCTCTTGAATTGTGGTGCCCAGAATTGGACACAATATTCCAGGTGTGGCCTAACCAAAGCAGAATAGAGGGGTAGCATTACTTCCCTAGATCTAGACACTATGCTCCTATTAATGCAGGCCAAAATCCCATTGGCTTTTTTTGCCGCCACATCACATTGTTGGCTCATGTTTAACTTGTTGTCCACGAGGACTCCAAGATCTTTTTCACACGTACTGCTCCCGAGCCAGGCGTCACCCATTCTGTATCTTTGCATTTCATTTTTTCTGCCAAAGTGGAGTATCTTGCATTTGTCACTGTTGAACTTCATTTTGTTAGTTTTGGCCCATCTCTCTAATCTGTCAAGATCGTTTTGAATTCTGCTCCTGTCCTCTGGACTATTGGCTATCCCTCCCAATTTGGTGTCGTCTGCAAACTTGATGATCATGCCTTCTAGCCCTTCATCTAAGTCATTAATAAAGATGTTGAACAGGACCGGGCCCAGGACGGAAAAACCCTGCGGTACTCCACTTGTCACTTCTTTCCAAGATGAAGAGGAAGCATTAGTGAGCACTCTCTGTGTTCGTCCACTTAACAAATTACAGATCCACCTCACCGTAGTTTTGCCTAGCCCACATTGGACTAGTTTCCTTGCCAGAAGGTCATGGGGGACCTTGTCGAAGGCCTTACTGAAATCCAGGTACGCTACATCCACGGCATTCCCCGCATCTACCCAGCTTGTAGCTCTATCGAAGAAAGAGATCAGATTAGTCTGGCATTACTTGTTTTTGATAAATCCATGTTGACTATTAGCGATGACTGCATTTGTTTCTAAGTGTTTGCAGACCGCTTCCTTAACAATCTTTTCCAGAATCTTGCCCGGTATCGACGTGAGGCTGACCGGACGGTAGTTGTTTGGGTCATCCTTTTTTCCCTTCTTGAAGATTGGGACCACATTGGCCCTCCTCCAATCTGCTGGAACTTCTCCGTTCTCCAAGAACTCTCAAAGATGGTTGCCAATGGTTCCGAGAATGATTTCTTCTAGTTCCTTCAGTACTCCTGGGTGTAGTTGATCTGGCCTGAAAGGGGCTCCTTAAGAGCGGCCAGGTATTCCTGGACGACTTCTTTATCAATTTGGGGTTGGATGTCCTCCAATCCCTCATCCACTCCATCTTGCTGAGGTTGAAGACTCTCTTTTTGTGAGAAGACCGAGGCAAAGAAGGCATTAAGTAGTTCTGCCTTTTCCCTATCCCCTGTCAGCATTGCCCCATCTTCTCCTCGAAGAGGTCCTATCGCCTCCTTGTTTTTCCTTTTTCTACTGACATAAGAATAGAAGCCCTTTTTATTGTTTTTAATGTCCCTGGCAAGTCTGAGCTCGTTTTTTGCTTTAGCCTTGCGGACCTTTTCCCTACAGGTGTTGGCTATTTGTTTGAATTCTTCTTTGGTGATTTCTCCCTTTTTCCACTTCTTGTGCATGTCTCTTTTGTGTCTTAGCACAGTTAGAAGTTCTTTGGACATCCATTCAGGCTTCTTTGCACTTGTCCTATTTTTTCTCTTTGTTGGCACGGTTTGCAATTGCGCCTTGAGTATTTCACTCTTGAGAAATTCCCATCCATCCGTAACTCCCTTGTCTTTTAGTATTCTGTGTCCACGGAATGCTGCTCAGCGTTTCCTTCATTTTTTGGAAATCAGCTCTCCTAAAGTCCAAAATGCGGGTTTGACTTGTCTTAGTTTCGGCCTTCCTTTGTACCTCAAATTGCAGGAGCACATGGTCACTTGCCCCTAAGGATCCTACCACTTCGACCGCATCGATCAGGTCCTCTGCATTTGTTAGGATGAGATCAAGAGTAGCCAATCCCCTTGTTGCCTCTTCTACCTTCTGGACCATGAAATTGTCTGCAAGGCAAGCGAGGAATTTGTTGGACCTTGTACTCTTGGCCGAGTTTGTTTTCCAGCAAATATCGGGATAGTTGAAATCGCCCATGACTACTACATCTCTTCTCTGTGCCTGTTTGGTCAACTGTTGGCAGAAGACTTCATCAAGTTCTTCCTCCTGGCTTGGGGGTCTGTAGTAGACGCCTACAACGACATCTTTTTGAGTCCCAGTTCCCTTGATTCTTATCCAGATGATTTCAAGCTGGTTTCCCAGATTGCTGTCTTGAATCTCTTCTGCAGCATAAGAGTTTTTGACATATAAGGCTACTCCGCCTCCTCTCCCCTTTGTTCGGTTTCTGTGAAAGAGGTTATACCCCTCGATATCTACATTCCAGCGATAGGAGTCATCCCACCAGGTTTCAGTGATCCCTATGATATCATATTTGTGGTGTTGTGCTAAAAGTTGGAGTTCGTCTTGTTTATTTCCCATGCTCTGTGCATTAGTGTAAAGACATGTGAGCCCCTGAGATCTTCCCTTGAGCTGTTTAATTGGGATTATTGTGCTTTTGGTACTTGGTCCTTGTTGTGTTTGTGCAGCCCTCCATTTAGCCTTCTGGCGATTCCCAGACATTATGGGTAAAGTAGTGTTCGCAAGGCTGTTGTCCCCCTCCCCCGGTGGACCTAGTTTAAAGTGCGTCTAATGAGGTTTGCGAGTCTGTGAGCAAAAAGGTGTTTTCCTACTTGTGTGAGATGCACCCCATCCCTTGCCAGTAAGCCATCCTCCTGGAAAAGCAGGCCATGGTCGAGGAAGCCAAAGTGTTCCTCCTGACACCATTTTCTAAGCCAGTCATTGACCTGTACTATTTTTCTGGCTCTTGTTGGGAGTGCTTTGATTGTATAATAACAATAACCGTAATAGTAGAAATAATAATAGTAGAAATAGCAGAAACAATAAGAGTAGAAAGTCTGGATGGCCATCTGTTGGGGGTGCTTTGATTGTGTAATAACAATAACCGTAATAGTAGAAATAGTAGAAACAATAATAGGTTTTTAAATCTCTGTGTGTTATTGTCTATATGTGAGTTGTATTAATTGTATTGTTTTATTTGCTTATTGCTTGTTGTTTTTATTGATTGGCCTCATGTAAGCCGCTCCGAGTCCCCTTGGGGAGATGATGGCGGGGGATAAATAAAGTTTTTTAAATTATTATTATTATTATAGTATTAAGTCTGGATGGCCATTTGTTGGGGGCGCTATGATTGTGTTCATAGAATCATAGAGTTGGAAGAGACCTCGTAGGCCATCCAGTCCAACCACCCCCTTGTTGTGTCAGCTCCACTGGCTGCCGATCCAATTCCGAGCACAATTCAAAGTGCTGGTTTTGACCTATAAAACCGTATATAGCTCCAGTCCAGCGTACCTGTCCGAACGTATTTCCTTCTACGCCCCATCTTGGAGCTTAAGATCCTCTGGGGAGACCCTGCTCTCGGCCCCGCCTTTGTCTCAAACACGTTTGGTGGGTACGAGGGACAGGGCCTTCTCGGTGGTAGCCCCCCTCCTGTGGAATTCGCTTCCCGGGGAAATTAGATCATCGTCATCCCTCCTCACCTTCAGAAAGAAGTCCCCTTCGGGATGAGAAGGGTGGCATATAAATGTCGGAAAGAAAGAAAGAAGGTAAGATCATGGTTGTGGGACCAGGCCTTCGGGCAATCAGGTTAAAGGACAGTGGATAATATTTGGCTATGGCTTGGCAGTGGAATTGGATAAGTGAAGCGGAGTAATCATTAGTATATAGCTAGATAAATAGCCACCAGACTGGCAATAGCTAAATGGATTGTAAGTATACTGTTTAATTTTTATTTAATGTTCATGTTTTTAATTGTTATATTTGATATTTGTATTTTATGAAGCGGCATTGAATTGTTGCCAATTGTAAGCCGCCCTGAGTTTCCCTAGGGGTTGAGAAGGGCGGGGTAAAAATGTTCAAAATAAATAAATAAACAAATAAATCTGGGAAGCCGACTGCCATCGGTTGCCTTAGACGCCCTTTTAGCCCACCTGGAGAGCCTTTTTTTGCTTTCCTTCCAGAATCTCGAGCGCATTGCGGCGCAGCATAAGGCCGAAGTGGAGAACATCATGGAGCAACTAAAGGAGCTGAAGGCCAAAGGGGATCGGGACAAGGAGAGCCTGAAAAAGGCCATCAAAGCCCAGAAAGAACGAGCAGAACGGAGTGAAGAATACGCTGATCAGCTCAATGCCCAGCTCGCAGAAAAGGTAATGAATGGCTGCTCTGGTTATTCTTATAGAAAGAAAGGTGTTTCTTATGGTTGCTTCTCGTTTATGGATTTCCTCCCCATTGCCATCTCTTTATTTATCTTCCAAGTCAGGTCCTGTTTTCTCTTGTGCTTTTTCGTTGTCATCATCATCTGTCTTTATTACAGTCCAATTACAGACCCAATATGCTCAGCAGATTCTAGTTCCATATGAACATGGGCAAAACCACTGCAAATATATTCAAGGCAACATTCAACCTGATTCTGATATAGGAATTTGTCTAATCCTGGCTACTTCAGAGAGAAACTTGGCAACAGCCAAGGTCACTTGGGGAAAATTGTCACCTAGCAAAAAACTGTTGGGCGAGTGGGCTTATTAACAAAAGACCCTCCCCATCAATATACAGCAGAGTAACTTAGCAGCAGCATGACCCAGCACCAGTAGCCCAAAACACAAATAAAGTCCTTTATACTTCCCTCTTTGCTTCCACGCTGGGCTTCTTTCTCATGCACAGAGCCTCCTCTCACACTGAATTTACACAGGAGCTTCACACAGTAGCTTTTTACACACAGCAGCCTTCACACACTAAAGCTTCACACACAATGGCCTTCAACCTGGGGTTTCAACTCTCATCGAACTTCTCACACCACACCTTCTCACACACTGATGCCTCCCTCTCACTGAGGCCTTTCTTTCACGGAGACAGTGAGGGATCTCTCAGATTGACGCCTCTCTCACACTGAGGCCTTCTCATACTGAGGCTTCCCTCACACTAAGGCCTTTCTTCCATGGAGATTTTCTCACACACTGAGGGATCTCTCAAACTGACGCCTCTTTCACACTGAGGCCTTCTCATACTGAGGCCTCCCTCACACTGAGGTCTTTCTCCCATGGAGACCTTCTCACACACTGAGGGATCTCTCAAACTGACGCCTCTCTCACACAGAGGCAAACTAACACTGAGGCCTTCTCATACTGAGGCCTTCCTCACACTAAGGCCTTTCTGCCATGGAGACCTCACACACAGTATTCCAGATGTGTTTTTCCTGTCTGAATAAAGGGGCAGAATAAAGGGGGCTGGACTAGATGGTCTCTGGGATTTCTGCTTCTATTGTTATTGTTGCAAAGGCTGGGTCATTTTTTTGCACTGTGTGGATTAGTTCACATAAGCACTCTCCATCCATCTACTACTGGCCCATGTCATATATACACACATTATAGGTAAAGGTAAAGATTTTCCCTTGACATTTAATCCAGTCGTGTCTGACTCTGTGACTATGGTGCTCATTTCCATTTCTAAGCTGACGAGCCGACGTCCGTAGACACATCCAAGGTCATGTGGCCACTGGCATGACTGGATGGAGCGCCCTTACCTTCCTGCCAGAGCAGTACCTGGTGATCTACTCACATTTGCATGTTTTCGAATTGCTAATATATATATACATTATATATACTTATTGCGGGGGTGACGTTCCAGGACTTCCCACAATAAGTGAAAAACAGCGATGTAGGGACGCCATATTTATTTTAATATTTATGCATTATTTTAGTAGTTCTACACTATTTTAAGTCTTTATAAATTTAAAAATAAAGTGATGGAAAGGCTCTTCAAGACTGGAGGGAGGACTGAGGATGGAAAGTGCCTCAAAGAGCAGTGGCGGCGGCAAAAACCCACGAAACAATGAAAATACCACAATATATATTTTAAATCAATATTTTTTGAGTCCGCTAAAAGCGAACTGCGAAGTAGGAAGGGAACACTGTACTCCTATTTATGCAGGCCAAAATCCCGTTGGCTTTTTTTGCTGCAGCATCACATTATTGGCTCATGTTTAACTTATTATCCACGAGGACTCAAAGATATTTTTCACTCTCGTCCCCCATTTTATCTCTTTGCATTTCATTTTTTCTGCCTAAGAGGAGTATCTTGCATTTGTCCCCATTTAACTTCATAGTGTTCGTTTTGGCCAATCATCCCTCTAATCTGTTAAGATCGTTTTGAATTCTGCCGCTTGCTTCATTATCTTATGCTTGGCTTGGCAGGATACCTATGTCGCCGAGGCCTTGTCCACTTTGGAGTCGTGGAGGAGCCGCTACAACCAGGTGGTGAAAGACAAAAGCGACCTGGAGGTGGAGATCGTGATGTTGAACAAGTATGAGCTGCATTTGGGTTTGGGGAACACCTATGGAGCTGCTTCCTGTTGTAACCCTTGGCATGTTTTGTGTTGGGTTTCGGCTTGATTACTGTAAGGAGCTTTACGTGGGGGTGCTATTGAAGATGGTTTGGTACGCATAGGCATTTGAATTATTACGAGGGTTGAATGAAAAATAATGCCTCCACCTTTGTAACTCCTCAACAGATGGCAGTACTGGTATGTGGCAGGTACTGGCTTGTTCAGTAGACTCTCCTCTACTGTTCCATTTTGGCGGGAAGCCTTGGCATTGAATAGTTGTGTTGTTAAAGTGTGTAGTATGGAACCCTGCACAGACGGTCGGTCAGTGCGACTTAAGCAATGTGCAATCATTGAATTCTTGACAGCAGAAGGTGTCACCCCAAAGGAGATTCATCAAAGAATGCAAGCTGTTTATAGTGATTGTGTTGATGTGAGTACTGTGCGTCGTTGGGCAAGTAAGTTTAAAGATGTTGAGGTGGGGACATCTGACTTGTGTGACAAAGAAAGAGTTGTCGAAGGCTTTCATGGCCGGAATCACTGAGTTGTTGTTGGTTTTTTCGGGCTATATGGCCATGTTCTAGAGCAGTGTTTCTCAACCTGGGGGTCGGGACCCCTGAGGGGGTCACGAAGGGGTGTCAGAGGGGTCGCCAAAGACCATTTTCTGTTTGTTATGGGGGTTCTGTATGGGAAGTTTGGCCCAATGCTATCATTGGTGGAGTTCAGAAGGCTCTTTGATTGTAGGTGAACTATAAATCCCAGTATCTACAACTCCCAAATGTCAATGTCTATTTTCCCCAAACCCCATCAGTGTTGACATTTGGGCATATTGAGTATCCATGCCAAGTTTGGTCCAGATCCATCATTGTTTGAACCCACAGTGCTCTCTGGATGTAGGCAAACTACAACTCCCAAACTCAAGGTCAATGCCCACCAAACCCTTCCAGTATTTTCTGTTGATCATGGGAGTTCTCTGTGCCAACTTTGGTTCAATTCCATTGTTGGTGGGGTTCAGAATGCTCTTTGTTTACATGTTAACTATAAATCCCAGCAACTACAACTCCCAAATGACAGAAGCAATTTCCCCGCCAACCCCAAATTTGGGCATACTGGGTATTTGTGCCAAATTTGCTCCAGTAAATGAAAATACATCCTGCAGATCATTATTTACATGGCGATGTTATGGTTATGGTTGGGGGTCACCACAACATGAGGAACTGTATTAAGGGGTCGCGGCATTAGGAAGGTTGAGAACCACTGTTCTAGAGGCATTCTCTATAAAGCCTCTAGAACATGGCCATATAGCCCGAAAAAACCTACAATAACCCAAACAAAGAGTTGGACGTCCTGTAACAGCAACCACCGAGTTTCACAAGCAAAAGGTTGACAGATGGATTCAGGACGATTTTCATATTACTCAGAGAAAAATTTCAAGCATAATTGGCATTTCTCAAGAACATGTGGGTCACTTTATTGCTTTGCTTGGCTATCGGAAGATCTGTGCACGATGGGCACCCAGGATGAGAGAACTGTGATACGCTGTTTGCGGAAACAGAGTGTCGACTTCTTCCGTGACAGCTTCAGAAAACTTGTTCATTGTTGGCAGAAATGTATCCAATTGTCTGGTGATTATCTGGGAAATTGAATAGTGTTATTTAAAGGATTATTTCTGCGTTTGATTTATTAAAATATTCCCATCCAAACCCAAGAAACAAAGGTGGAGGCATTACTTTTCATTCAACCCTCGTATGTGGCATCTTCTCCAAAGGCATTCATTTGTTGGAAAGTCCAGCCGTTAGACCAAACCCGTAAAGATTGGATTCCCTTTGAAAACACAAGACGGTAAAAATAACATGTTGTCAAAGGCTTTCATGGGCAGAATCACTGCGTTGCTATGAGTTATCCAGGCTGTATGGCCATGTTCCAGTAGCATTCTCTCCTGACGCTTCACCTGAATCTGTAGCTAATGGCATCCTCAGAGTTTTTGTTGCTAGTGAGGCAAGTGGAGTGTATACATCCCTGTGAAATAATGTCCAGGGTGGGGAAAAGAACCCTTGTCTGTTTGAAGCAAGTGTGAATGTTGCCATTAGCAAGCTTGATTAGGATTGAGTAGCCTTGCATTTGCAAAATCAATCAGTGAGGGTCTCTGCATGGAGGTAGCCTGGCTGTTGTTGCCTGGAGGTATCCTCTGGGACGTGTTAACTGGCACTTGGTTGTTTGCTGTCTGGAATTCCCCTGTTTCTGAGTGATGTTCTTTATTTACATGATTCTGGTGTTTTAAAATAATAATAATAATAATAATAATAATAATAATAATAATAATAATAATACAAGGCATTATTTTCTCAAACATCACATAGTCCTAGACATTTGGGATCCAATATAATAGCCAGCATAGTGATCTTGTTTGCTGTGGACTCATCTTGTGTATCGAATAATAATAATAATAATAATAATAATAATAATAATAATAATGCAGAGCAAACAGAGAAAACACGGAACTCAATTAGCATCATTAATTTAAATCCACCCTAATTTTATTTTCACAATAGCCGTGCTTCTTCTCCGTCTGTTTCTTACTTGGTGGTGTTTCATTTTTTCAGCCGCATTTCAGACCTGGTGGACCAGCAGGCCGCCATGGAGGACAAGATGCGGGAAGACCGAGACGCCATGGTTGACAAGCTCCACCGGCATGCCACCGAGAGCACCTCCATCAAAATGGAGAACGAGAGGCTGAAGGTCAGTAGAGAAAGGCAGAGGCATCCCAGAGCTGGTGGCACAAGAAGGGAGCCTCTCAACATCCTCCAATTCCCATTTTCCTATAATAATAATAATAATAATAATAATAATAATAATAATAATAATAATAATAATAATAATAGAAGACAAGAAGGGAACCTCTCAGCATCCTCCAGTTCCCATTTTCCTCTAATAATAATAATAATAATAATAATAATAATAATAATAATAATAATAATAATAGACAAGAAGGGAGCCTCTCAGCATCCTCAAATTCCCATTTTCCTCTCATAATAATAATAATAATAATAATAATAATAATAATAGTAGTAGTAGTAGTAGTAATAGAAGACAAGGGAGCCTCTCAGCATCTTCCCATCATCCTCAAGCAGTATGGCTGCCAGACAGAAGTAATGACAAAGTGATCTTACACAGCATCCTCCAATTCCCATTTTCCTCTCATAATAATAATAATAATAATAATAATAATAATAATAATAATAATAATAATAATAATAGACAAGAAGGGAGCCTCTCAGCATCCTCCAAGTCCCATTTTTCTCTAATAATAATAATAATAATAATAATAAACAAGAAGGGAGCCTCACAATATCCTCCAATTCCCATTTTCCTCTCATGATGATGATGATGATGATGATGATGATYATGATGATGATGATAATAATAATAATAATAATAATAATAATAGACAAGAAGAGAGCCTCTCAATATCCTTCAATTCCCATTTTCCTCTCATATTAATAATATCCCTCCTTTCCTTTAGAACAGGGGTTCTCAAACTTTTTAAACAGAGGGCCAGGTCACAGTCCCTCAAACTGTTGGAGGGCCAGATTATAATTTGAAAAAAAACATGAATAAATTCCTATGCACACTGCACATATCTTATTTGTAGTGCAAAAAACACTTTAAAACAATACAATAATTAAAATGGAGAACAATTTCAACAAATATAAAATTATTAATATTTCAATGAGAAGTATGGGCCTACTTTTGGCTGATGAGATAGGATTGTTGATGTCGTGTGCTTTCAAGTCATTTCACACTTAGGTTGACCCTGAGCGAGGGCTGGGTAAATGACCTTGGAGGGCCGCATCCGGCCCCCGGGCCATAGTTTGAGGACCCCTGCTTTAGAAGGAAATTAAAAACATGGATTTGGGACCAGGCGTTTGGGCAATCTGGCAGATAAATAAAGGACTACGATGACTGATAGGAATAGACAATGTAGAATGAAGTATGGACTCTGAGTTGGCGAACGCTGAGCTTGAGATTGGTTTATTGACTGTGACATATATTGATTGTTTTTTAACTGTTGTAACTGTTTTAATTGCTGTTTTTATTCGTTTATCTGTATTATCGTGTAGGCATTGAATTGTGCCTTTTTGTAAGCCGCCCTGAGTCCCTCCTCGGGGGTTGAGAAGGGAGGGGTAGAAGTACACGAAATAAATAAATAAATTAAAATAATAATAGTAATAACAACAACAACTGGAAAAGCTGACACGGTATGAGGTTTTAAAGCTCGAACTGCAAAGACTCTGGCACAAGCCACTCAGGGTGGTCCCAGTGGTGATCGGCACACTGGGTGCAGTGCCTCAAGACCTTGGCCTACACTTAAACACAATCGGAGCTGACAAGATTACCATCTGCCAGCTGCAGAAGGCCACCTTACTGGGATGTGCACGCATTATTCGCTGATACCTCATATAGTCCTAGACACTTGGGAAGTGTCCGACATGTGATCCAATTCAACAGCCAACAGAGTGATTCTTGTCTGCTGTGGACTCATCTTGTTGTGTTTCAAATAATAATAATAATAATAATAATAATAATAATAATAATAATAATAATAGAAGACAAGAAGGGAGCCTCTCAACATCTTCCATTCCCATCTTCCCCAAGCAGTATGGCTGTCACACAGAAGTAATGACAAAGTGGTCTTAGACAGCATCCTGGGGAACATCTCCTCTACCAGCTCTAGAACTGGACATAAACTGGGCACGGAGGGCGTTCCAGTTATCCTTCTTAATTTGTAGGGAGATAGTTCAGCCAGGACCCATGGCCACATAGAACAATTTGGTTTTTTTCCTTGGAAGCAGGCATTATTTTCTCCATCAACCCAATCCTTTGTTTTGTTTTGTGTTTACAGAATAGTATGATCCCTGTGGAGGAGAGAATGAATGAAGCCCAGCAAGAAATTGCAAAACTCAAAGCCTCTCTCAAGAACTACGAAGCCATGATTGAAACCTATAAGAGTCAGGTAGGTTGCCCTAAATGCCTTTAGAACCTTATTTTTCCCCCCTTAGGCCACGTTGTGTTGAATCAAAGCCCTTTGCCAGAGCTATGTCTTGGCTTTGGGGCCTTCTGCGGCAACACAGAAGACAGTTGTGACGTGTCTTTCTGCCTGTCTTGTGCCCAGGTGGTGAAAACACGGATGGAAGCGGATGAGGTGACGGTGAAACTGGAGGCGTGCGACAAAGAGAACAAAGCTCTGAAAGAAGAAATGGCCAAGGAGATTGAAAATGTAAGACTCTTGAGTGGTTCTCCTGTCTTCTTTTTTAAAATGATGGCTGTACCCGCCATGCGTTGCTGTGGACAACCTTCCCTCCCTCTTTCTCTTCTTTCTTTCTCTCCTTCCTTCCTTTTTTTTCTTTCATTCTCTCCTTCCTTCCTTTGCCTCCTCTTCCTTCCCTTTTCTTTCCCTCCCTATTTCTCTTCTTTCTTTATCTCCTTTCTTCCCTTTTTTTCTTTCATTCTCTCCTTCCTTCCTTCCTTCCTTCCTTCCTTCCTTCCTTCCTTCCTTCCTTCCTTCCTTCCTTCCTTCCTTCTCTACCTCTTCCTTCCCTTTTCTTTCCCTCCCTCTTTCTCTTCTTTCATTCTCTCCTTCCTTCCTTCCTTCTCTACCTCTTCCTTCGCTTTTCTCTCCCTCCCTCTTTCTCTTCTTTCTTTCTCTCATTCCTTCCTTTTTTATTTCATTCTCTCCTTCCTTCCTTCCTTCCTTCCTTCCTTCCTTCCTTCCTTCCTTCCTTCTCTACCTCTTCCTTCGCTTTTCTTTCCCTCCCTCTTTCTCTTCTTTCTTCTTTCTTTCTTTCTCTCCTTCTTTCTCTTCCTCTTCCTTCCCTTTTCTTTCCCTCCCTCTTTCTCTTCTTTCTTTCTCTCCTTCCCTTTTTTCTTTCATTCTCTCCTTCCTTCTTTCCTTCCATCCTTCCTTCTCTAACTCTTCCTTCCCTTTTCTTTCCCTCCCTCTTTCTCTTCTTTCTTTTTCTCTTTCCTTCCTTCCTTCTCTACCTCTTCCTTCGCTTTTCTCTCCCTCCCTCTTCCTCTTCTTTCTTTCTCGTTCCTTCTTTTTTCCCTTTCATTCTCTCCCTTCTTTCCTTCCTTCTCTACCTCTTCCTTCGTTTTTCTTTCCCTCCCTCCCTTTTTCTCTTCTTTCTTTCTTTCTCTCCTTCCTTCTCTTCCTCTTCCTTCCCTTTTCTTTCACTCCCTCTTTCTCTTCTTTCTTTCTCTCCTTCCRTTTTTTCTTTCATTCTCTCCTTCCTTCTCTTCCTCTTCCCTTCCTTCCTCCGTTTTCTTTCCCTTCCACTTTCTCTTCTTTCCTCCTTCTCTACCTATTCTTGGACTGCAGCTCCCAGCAGTCCTCCTGATCCATATACTTACCTACCTATCTCTATCCAATCTATCTATCTGGAGGATTGGTGGGAGTTGCATTCCAGGAATAGGAAATTGGAAATATGCAGGGATTGAGATGCTCTCAAAGAAATCCAAGGAGAAGAAAGCTTGCAGCTTGGAAGCAGTGCATTTGGATCATTCTCCTCTCCTAAAGGGCCTGGTCTAGGGGATGATGGGAGCTGTAGTCCTGAAGAGAGTGTGGATATGCTATTGTGTGTTTTGTTTGCCGGGGAGTTGTTTTTGCGCATGCGCTATAGCGTCTTTTTGCTTTTTTGGCTTTTTAAGTCCCTTCTGCTGTGTTTTTTAATGTTTTTATGAATGATGGTCACTCATTGTCCAGTGGTTTTTGAGTTATGTTAATCCCACAAATGAACATTACATTTTTATTTATATAGATTATATATTACACTAACCATCCCGTCAGGTGTTGCTGTGGCCCAGTCTGGTGATCTGGAAAACAAAGTAATGAGAAAGTGTTGGTTTCTAATATATGTAATTTTTTTCTGCTTGTAGGTAAACATTATTTCTTGTTGTTACTTTGTCGGAGTTGATGTGGAGATTGTGTGGTTTGCCTACTCTGGAACAGGCAACATATCATTGTCCTTCTTTAGGGGTCCCTTTCACAAATCTATGATATTATATCTCTGTGTGTGTGAATCATATATATCTATGGCTGGATGGCTCTTTGTCAGGAGGGCTTTGATTACATTTTCTTGCCACAGTGAAGGCAGTTGGACTGGATGGCCTTAAGTAATTTCTGTTGGTCATGGGGGTTCTGTGTGGGAAGTTTGCCCCAATTCTACAACTCCCAAATGTCATGGTCTATTTTCCCCAAACTGTGTTCATATTTGGGCATATGGTATATTCGTGCCAAATTTGGTCCAGATCCATCATTGTTTGAGTCCACAGTGCTCTTTGGATGATGTAGGTGAACTACAACTCCCAAACTCAAGGTCAGTGCCCACCAAAACCCTTCGAGTGTTTTCTGTTGGTCATGGGAGTTCTGTGTGTTACCTTTGGTTCAATTCCATCATTGGTGGAGTTCAGAATACTCTTTGATTGTAGGTGAACTATAAATCCCAGTGTTTTTATGAGTGATGGTCACTCGTTGGCCTGATTGGTGTCTTGTGTCCAAATTTGGTGTCAATCCGTCCAGTGGTTTTTGAGTTATGTTAATCCCACATACGAACATTACATTTTTATTATATAGATAGAACAGTTTCTGAGGCTTTAATATATTCCAACCATAGCCAGCTCGCTACATGATATAATAATAATAATAATAATAATAATAATAATAATAATAATAATAATAATCCTCAGTTCTATATGGCCATGTTCTAGAGGCATTTCTCCTGACGTTTCGCCTGCATCTATGGCAAGCATCCTCAGAGGTGATAATAATAATAATAATAATAATAGTCAAGGCAAAGTCCCATGAGAATATGACAAAGTCCTGAAACATGAGCATGAAAAGCTGCAAGATAAATCCAAAGTCTCTTGGTTGAAGCGGGAAGTTGCTCTGACACTGAGGCACATTCAAACAGCCTGTTTAATACACTTTGGACAACATGAAGCTGTTAGTCTATAGGTCCACCGCACACACCGTGGGCGCTACTGCTTGCTTCGCAGGGGCTTGTTTTTCTCAGAGGCCAATCCTGATGGGTGTCTCCCGGCTTTCTGTCCACAGGCCCGCAAGCAGTTCCAGAACCAGGTGGCCGAGCTGGAGAAGCTTCCCGAGATCTTGAAGATCACCGAGACGAAGCTGGCCGAGTGCCAGGACCAGCTCAAGAGCTACGAGAAGAAGAACATGGACCTGTCCGCCATGATTACGGACCTCCGCCAGCGGGTAAGGGACTGGCAGAAGACGCCCACGCGAACCTCCAGCCGGGGACCCAAATGAGCCGCCTCTCGCCTCAGGAAAGTGCAACCTCTGCTCTCTTGTCTCGTCTCTCTTTGAAATGATTAAAACATCTGCACTGCGTAATACATGGGCGCCTGGCATCTCCTTTGTGCTTGCTGCTTTGAGTTTTCCTCCTCAGCTTCAGTCGCTGGCAAGTCGGCTTCACGCTTTCAAGGGGTTTCTGATGTGCTTAAGTTTGTCAACTCTCTTCTATTAGCTCTGTTTTCATTCGCTAAACTGACACCTGTCTGTAAATAACTAATATTAGAGCTCTGTTTACTTAGACCAGGCCTGGGCCAACTTTGGCCCTCCCTCTAGGAGTTTGGCTGGCTGTTAGGGATTGTAGAAGTTGCAGTCCAAAACACCTGGAGGAGGGCCAAAGTTGGCTCAGGCATGACTTTGCCATTTAAGCCCATGCCTGAATGATGATGATGATGATTATTATTCAGTAATACCAATGGCCTTTTAGGCTGACTTTGAAGCTGCAAGGCCATTCAATGCTAATCAAGCTGGCCAATTGCAATATTATTATTATTATTGTGCCGTTACGCCCAGACGCTTTAAATTAAACTTTGATGTGCTGCTATCTATGTCTGGGCGAAACTGCTGGGGTCTTTCTTTAGGAAGATTGAGCTTTCTTGAATAACTGAGTCTACTTCAAGATTGAAACATTAAACAGGGTATTTATTCGCAAAGTCCTGCTAGACTTGGCTCCGCTTATCAATGTTACAAACAGTCAATGAGTAGGTTCTTGTGGGTTTTTTTGGGCTATAGAGCCATGTTCTAGAGGCATTTCTCCTGACGTTTCGCCTGCATCTATGGCAAGCATCCTCAGAGGTAGTGAGGTCTGTTGGAATTAGGACAATGGGTTTATATATCTGTGGAATGGCTGAGGTGGGGCAAGGAGCTCTTCCCTGCTGTAGCTAGGTGTGAATGTTTCAACTGATCACCTTCATTAGCATTTGAAGGCCTGCCTGAGCCTGGGAAAATCTCTTGCTGGGAGGT